GGACGGAAAATCCATAATGGCTGCCTTAACATTTACCCAGAATGCTGAAATACTAATCAGATTTAGATTTTCATACTAAAAATCATCCCTGGAAATTTGGAATTGATCCATCAAATAGTTGTCCTGAAAATAAACATGATTTTAGGATGGAAACTCCAAAATGGCCTCTTTAATGTTTACCTATAATGCCAGAAAATTAATCACTTCTAGATTTTCATACTAAGAACCAGCCCTGAAAATTGGAATTGATCCGTCAAATGGTTATCCTGAAAATGAGTAGACAAGACTTTGCAGACATGATTCTAGGACAGAAAATCCGAAATGGACACCTTAAAATTTACACAGCTGAATGCCAAAAAATTATTCATTTCTAGATTTTTATTATAAGAACCAGCCCTAAAAATTTGAAATTGATCAGAAAACGCGTAGACAAGACATTACAGACAATATTTTGGGACATAAAACCCAAAATGGCTGCCTTGACATTTAACCAGAATATCCAAAAAACTAATCAGTTCTAGATTTTCATACTAAGAATCATCCCTGAAAATTCAAAATTGATCTACCAAACGGTTCACCTGAAAACATGTAGACTTTACAAAGATATTAAGATGGAAAAATCCAAAACGGCCGACAATAAAAAAGTAGTTATGAATTTTTGCGGATTTCTTTTTACAAAATTATCGCATAAAACTACTGTTAACAACAACATAGGCTTTTACAACAAATTACACCGAAATAGTTAAAGTATGAAAACTAAAAAACACCATACTAATATGATACAAAGTATTATCGCTCGCTAACTTTTTTAAGACATTCAAAATGGCTGCCATGAATGAGCTAACAGGTCCAAAACCTAATCAGATGTAAAAATGAAGTGAGTTGAACAAGATTTTAAAGTTTTAAAAGCAAATGTGAAGCCCTTTTTCTTAAAGTTTACAGATAAGAATTTTAGCATTTGACTTCAAAATGGCCGATGGGAAGTAGGTATTGAGTTAACATTTTTTCATCCACATCTGTATGCACTCATAAGATATCCCTGAAAATTTGAAGGTGAAACCTGTTGCGGTATTTTGGATCGAGAAAACTGCCGGATGCACGGCCAGACAGATGGATGGACAGACAGATGGACGGATGGACAGATGGACGAACGGACAGACGAACACGCCTACGCCGACAATATGGCCCCACATAATAATGAGTTCGATCTTAAGTCAGATTTGAATTTCTGAGAATTTGTTGATAATTTGAAAAGAAAATTGGTCAATTGGAAGCAAGTTGAAAAATACCTTTTTGACCTATTTTGACCCTAAGAAGATAATTGAAGGTCAAATCTCAAATCTTAAGCCAGATTTGAACTACTGAGAACTTGAAGATGATTTTGAAAAAATAGTCAATTTGAAGCAAGTTGAAAAATACATTCTTTTAAATCTTTTTTGACCTTGAGAAGGTCATTGAAGGTCGAATCTCAAATCTCAAGTCAGATTTGAACTTCTGTTAACTTGTAGATGATTTTGAAAAAAAATTGGTCAATTTGAAGCAAGTTTAAAAAAAGTCATTTTGGACCTTTTTAACCTTTTTTGATTTGAACTTCTGAAAACTTGTACATGATTTAAAAAAAATTGAAGTCAGTCTAAACAGCATATTGTTAAGTTATTGGGATTTGTAAGAATTTGTTACAGATGCCAACTGCCACCCGCCGATCACCAACGGCCAACCACCATCACAAAAAAGGAGACCATAACAATATTTCATCACTTTTTGGTGGTGACATAAAAACTACTAGAATAGTTTAACTTCTCAGTTAGATGTTCTATTAAATCACAGCCGAAACAAAGATTCTCAAAGGGGAATTCCATGATCTAATAATATGTAAGTATCATATTTCAAATACTGAATGTGTTTAACATCTTGGCACCTCCTGCTGGCCAATTGCACCTCCTGTGACAACTCCTGCTGGCCAATGGTCACAGGGTTTATGATAACTTATGTGAATTATGATAATAGAGATAGCAAGGATATTGTGAATTAGGTGAAGATAACCCTAATGATTTTGAATAATAAAAGAAAATGTCAGATAAATCTTTGATTATTAAGAGAGAAAGGGGGTAATATATTGAAGGTTGAATTGATTATTTTTTGACTGGGAAGACAAGAAGTGTGTACAGGCCTAATGCTATTATCTTGACAGCCTCTTATCAAATCATTCAGAAATCAATAGACTTTTACTTAGCCTACATTCCAAATCCCTCCCATGCATGTTAAGTCACCCTGTTAAAAGAGGGTTCATCCCATGACTGTACATTTATGGAGTAATTGTAGTTAGGCTCTACGCTTTTGCATTGCCTTTATGAAACCACATATTGCACATTGATAGTCTTGCAGTAAAACTACATATCAGTGCATTGATAGTATTGCAGAAACGCTACAAACCTGTGTATTAATAGTGTTGTAGTAAGGCCATATACATGTGGATTGATAGTGTTGTATTAAGGCTATATGCCTGTGCATCGATAGTGTTGTAGTAAGGCTATATGTCTATGCATTGATAGTGTTGTAGTAAGGCTTAATGTCTATACATTGATAATGTTGTAGTAAGGCTATATGCCTGTATATTGATAGTGTTGTAGTAAGGATATATGCCTGTGCATTGATAGTGTTGTAGTAAGGCTATATACCTGTGCATTGATAGTGTTGTATTAAGGTTATATGCCTGTGTATTAATAGCGTTGTAGTAAGGCTATATGTCTATGCATTGATAGTGTTGTAGTAAGGCTATGTTGTGCATTGATTGTGTTGTAGTAAGGCTATATGCATGTGCATTGATAGTGTTGTAGTAAGGCTATATGCCTGTGCATTGATAGTGTAGTAAGGCTACATGCCTGTCCATTGATAGTGTTGTAGTAAGTCTACATGTCTATGCATTGAATGTGTTGTAGTAAGGCTATATGCCTGTGCATTGATAGTGTTGTATAGGCACATGCCTGTGCATTGAATGTGTTGTAGTAAGGCTATATACCTGTGCATTGATAGTGTTGTAGTAAGGCTACATGTATATGCATTGACTGTGTTGTAGTAAGGCTATATGCCTGTGCATTGATAATGTTATAGTAAATCTCTGTGGGGGTGATCCCTATATTCAATAAGTATTATGATTTCTGATACTGATTTGCTGATTCACAGATATGTTCATCTAGCAGGTTTTACTATACTCCCTATCTGGTCATAATAATCAATATATAATTGGATTGAATCAGGTTTCATCTTTATCAAAGATTTCTTTGAGAAAGAGATCATTTCAAAAGTTCGGATATTTTTCATAAGACACTCAAAAATAAGAGAAATTGGATTGTTGAGTAATGTGTAATCAAAAAAGCAATAATGACTATATGTAAAGACTTTGACAATACAAAAGTCAAATACCTGAATAGTTTGAACAGAAAAATTAAATGATAAGAAAGCAAAATTCTTTTACAATGAATTGATTAACTTCAAATTCAAAAAGAAAAAACATAAATGAGTTTAAATGGAACAAGGAACTTAATATTCAAGATAACAAAATCTGGAACAATATTTACTTCCAAAAAACTATTAATCTAAATTACAGATATTTTGCAGAATTTAATTTTAAGCTTTTGAATAATTTACTTAAATTTGGTCTCTAGGTGGAACAGCAATGTCTAAAGTTCCTGCTCCATATGTAACTGCAGCCATACTTCAAAGCATTTGCTTTTTAAATGTAAAAGGTAACTCAATATGGGAAAAATTCAGTCAAGTTCTAAAATTTCATATCAAATATAAACATCTAATCATTGGTTGGCCTCTAGGAAACAACATAACCCACTACAGAAACATTCTTATTACGATAATTTGTTTGGCAATCTACACTAAGAGGTGTGAGCTGTCAGAGGATATTAAAAAATGGAAAAATGTTGATCTAAATTTATTATATTTAGAAATATTTTATATTATAAACATATATTTTTAAAGATTGACAGTGAGTATCATTTTGTTAAATGGGTTTCATCAATCATAAAATGAATGTTTATCTTTGAATTCTTTGTATCATTTTGTATCACTGATGTGTCTATAAAAACAGAACTAAAAAAATCAATAAAAAAATAGTCAAATAGAAATAATAGTCTTCATATACAATGATACATATGTATATGAAAACAAAAATAGGGTCGTTAGAGGTTACTGTTGGAAAGTGATTTTTGCAATGGGTTTTACTTACAAAGATGGCTTTGACCTTTGGAGAAAGATTTTCAAAATGATGTGCAGTTACCTCTTGTTTAAATGACTTATTTGACTATTCTGGGATACAAAACCTTCAGGAAGGACAGAGATTTGTCAGTTTGTGGGATAATTTAGATATGAGTTAGACAGACAACAGCATCAACTAGGATTGGATTTAGTTTGGGGTAAGAACAGATGATGCTGAAGTATTGCTTCAAATTGGATTCTTTCGTGATGTTCACAAAAAAGCTAACAATGTTATCAACAATATGATATAATCTATATCATTTATTATGCACCATTTTAAACTGTTTACATTTATATAAATCATTTCAAATAAGATTGTATTGCAAATGGCATGTTTGCCAAAATGTAAGTTTACAAAAAACGAAAATTGTTTGCCCATACTTTACTAATATCTTTGAGATATATTGCATTTTGACATGCCTATTTAGCAGTACTGTACATCTTTGAGACAGTTAATATATTGCATTTTGATATTTAAGCAGCAAGTATTGTACATAGTTAAGAGTTAAGACAGTAAATGTATATTTCATTTTGACTATGACTATTTAGCAGTACTGTACATCTTTGAGACAGTTAATATATTGCATTTTGATATTTAACCAGCAAGTATTGTACATAGTATTTGCAAGTGAGGAAGTACAAAAAAACATTTACACATGCTGAAATAAACTACAACTACCTATTTAATTAAATAAAATTATGTTTTTTGAAATGTATTTCCTGGTATACTTGACAAAAATACTTACGCCTTTCCATCCCCTGACAATATTACAGTTGAACACCATTTTGAACACCATGTGCAAGACATTTTATTACAGACCTCCAAATGAAAATACCTGTTTTTTGCTTTTTACACATTATAATTTTAACAATGACCTTGGTTCTATATTCCAATCACTATTGGTTTTTTAACAATAATCAATCATCCAATGATATATTAAGCCATAAACTATAAAATCTCAGTCTTATATCTTTATATCTTATCTTTTTCTCATCAGAAAAGCATATATTTGAAATTCATATTTATATGTATCTTAAAAAACCAATAGACTTGGACATGAAACTCATTTTCTGTTCATATAGAAGAAAGTGAATTAATTACTGAAAAAGCTGTGAGCAGTTTTTTTCAATTTTAGAACAGTATAACTAAAATTTTGTCAAGCTAAGTATTTTAAGAAAAGAAGGTCTATGTATCATGAGTGAAATATCTTAGGGTTATTTTAGGATATAAAATTACAGCTTTTATTATACTCCTAGAAATAAACATCAGGCTATAAGTTCTCCAGAAATGAGTGCCTCGATGCCATAATTGCCCATTATGATTCTATAGTTTTTGCACTAAGATGAAAGGCTATATTTCTTGAAGTTAAAGCATCATACATGTTATGCCATACATTGAGCAATTACACAGATCTTATTGACAAACAACTGGCCAGTCAAACAACTGATCTAATACTGATCTTGTTGAGCATAAGAATTAACAGGTAAACTCGGGAATATGTTATACTGTAAATGATAATGGAAAAACATACAGATAAATGCTGCCAAAGATTGACTTATGGAATAAAACATACAAGAGTTATAAACAATAGACATTTTGCAAAGGAACATGTTTTATAGCAAAGTCTTTGATTTTCTCACTCTCAAACATGAATTTGATAAATGTACACTAATATTTGAATTATATATCAGTACTACGAAGATAATTTGGGAACTTGATGTAAGGTGTATAAACCATGATGATTGTCTCAGCAGCAAGTGGTTCACACTGATCATACCTAGTTTTCCTCTTTGGTTCAAATTGGCCATGTCGAAGATTCTTTTGTTCATATTGGTCACATCTTAGTTTTCTTCTTTGGTTCGGCCATGTCTAAGATTTCTTCTTTTGTTCATATTGGTCATATCTAGTTTTCTTCTTTGGTTCGGCCATGTCTAAGATTTCTTCTTTTGTTCATATTGGTCATATCTAGTTTTCTTCTTTGGTTCGGCCATGTCTAAGATTTCTTCTTTTGTTCATATTGGTCATATCTAGTTTTTTTCTTTGGTTCGGCCATGTCTAAGATTTCTTCTTTTGTTCATATTGGTCATATCTAGTTTTCTTCTTTGGTTCGGCCATGTCTAAGATTTCTTCTTTTGTTCATATTGGTCATATCTAGTTTTCTTCTTTGGTTCGGCCATGTCTAAGATTTCTTCTTTTGTTCATATTGGTCATATCTAGTTTTCTTCTTTGGTTCGGCCATGTCTAAGAGTTCTTCTTTTGTTCATATTGATCATATCTAGTTTTCTTCTGATGGAACATATCTAGTTTTCTTCTTGGGTTCAAATTGGTCATATCTAAGATTTCTTCTTTGGTTATCATTTTCCAAATCCAGTTTTCTTTGTTTCACATTGGTCATATCTAGTTTTCTTTGGTCCAAATATGTAAAAGTTCTTATTTTAGTTCACGTTGGTCACATCTTTTGTTCACATTGCTTATAATTCTTAGTTAACATAATTAAGAATTAAGGATAACTACTTTGACAAGATTCTGGTAACTGAAATGTTTGTAACGTCCATTCAGCTACATTTAAGTTTTCTGTCACAATCCCATTGGAGCAGGTACGTTTGACAAAGGGGAATTTATCCTCCAATATTTTACATGGCACAGATTTCTGACTGAACGTGAATAGAGGAAGCTCATTAATATGGCTAAATGACCTTGAGGCACACATATGGATGTCATAATTTGTAGATAGCACTTCATATGTTTTACATGGTGCATTTAAAGTCATCCCTTCAAATGGTCGCTTTTGTAATGGGAACACATCAGTCTTTTGAAAACAAAACTCTGATTTATATTGTGGGTTTTCATCCCAAATATGGGTTTGGTTCTCCTCAAAGAAGAATATGTCTATATATGGCCATTTAAAAGACCTGTGTGTAAATTTTCCGGCAGCCTTACTGTAAAACTTCCATCCAGTTGTACGTAACGCATCACTTTCGTAAAGCTGAAACTCAGGTCCTAATGGCTCAATGGCTTTCTTAAAATCATCTATTTGTGTGGAGTTGAGAATGAAATCTGTATCATCATCCCAAGGAATTAGCCCATGGTGACGATATGATCCAATCAAAGTACCTCCATACATCATGTAAGTAATATTTCCCGCTTCTAATGCACCGACAAAAACTTCCAAAGTTTTTCTCATTAATTCACGATCTTTAGGTGTAAGCACAGGTTGGTAAAATGTCTCTGGAGGCCAGAAGCCATGGTTAAGTTGCATTACTGCGAAAAATAGATTGATCAACAAACAAAGGAAGTTCAAAACAAGAATGTGTCGCAAATCACACATTTTCTTCATTCTCTTCAACATTCTAGTGGATCAGGAGTTCTTTAGCTCAAAAATATACTCTAAATATCCGAGGTCAAAATTTGCTGTGATTCTTGGGGAGATTATAGTCGAGGAAGCATCTAGAGTCGTTGGCAAATCTGCTTCATTAAAGCTGTGTAGGTTTACTGACAGTTCCCATCAGAACACTCAGTACTTGTTAGCTGTAATATCCTGAAAATACATTGAGATAATTAAGAATTGGAGAATAATTTATACATAAATTGTTCTAAACTTATTCAATAGTAATATTTATTCATTACTATACAAGTTTCATGTTTGATTATTAATCTATTATGCTATCTATATCATTTCCTTCAATATCCATAACATAACAGGCAATTACATAAATCATCACCATTACAAGACCAACATAACATGCATGTACAGGGTGTCAAATGGCGTTGTGCCCCCTATCCCCAGCATAAACTAGAAGAGGTACACATGCATACTATATACCATTGGAAAGAGCATTTAATTGTTCTTAGAGTGTGAAAAGATGAAGATGGATGATAGATTTGGACCAACTTTTAAAAGAGAGTTTGACTATCCCCCGCAGCTTTAAACGGCTGCCAGTCAGGCTGGATATCAAGTTAAAAGGGCATTGAAAAGAGCAATGTCTTGAGCAGAGATCTCAATACTTTTTGAGGTTCTCCTGGAGGATATCTATGGAATATCTGTTCTCTACAGCTTCAACTTCCATAAATAGCTCTGTTTTATCCATTAATATGGGCTCAATTTGAACTGAAGCATTTAAGTCAGAGTTGTTGCTCGGGTATTCACCAATACCAAAAAGGTCTATGCAGGAATTTTTAAAAATCAATAAAAATAGCACTATACTGGTGCATTTCAAATGCTTATGAAACTTTGTAGCAATATCTGACCCTGGTCATCTAGGGTTCATTTTATCCAAAATTGAATGCTCTTTCTAATGATATATATAATGTATGTGTACTTCTCCTCATTAATGCTGTGGAAGGGGGGCACAACGCCATTTGACACCCTGTACATATGCAATGAATTGTCTCAGATTTTAATATATCAACATAAAGCATTCTTTGATGCTAATTTCAGTTCTAATCATGGTATTCATATAAAGTTTATACAAAGAAATCCATCTAGTATTGAAATAACTGGACCTTCTTATTTTTGGTGGTCCTTCTATTCTACTTGTTCTATTTTAGTTCAACACCTTACCAAAATAGACAATTTTGCAATTCTTAACAGAGCATTTGTTGTTTTCACAATACAAGTAAGTGAACACAATTGATTCCGGCAGTCATCGAAGGGAATACCTGTCACTTGACACAAGCCTTGAACCAGGCAGCCAATCAGGTTCATGATGAACAAATTTAACGACCAATCAGATAGCAGAGCATTTCCCCGGTTTATTCAACCTTCAGATTTAATTAACTTCGATGAAAATAATTCCACACTTCAGTGAACCGAAGGTGAGTGCATTAGTACTGACATTATGTCAAACGAATGTAGAATTTCACCATATTGAATGGCCTATCATTATTTATTCAGATTCAAACATAAAAATGAAGACCTTGTTCAGAGAATTGGGGACTGAGGTCAATGAAATAACCAAAAGATTGGTATTGATATGGCGAACTGAATTGAACACATGTTTCTCTTCAACCAGTCATCAAAAGATTCTGAAAATGTTACACATCGTCAATCCAATGACCATCTTTTGAATGGTAACAGTTAAATCTGAAAAAAAAATTTACATTTTTCTCTACACTTCTTTTGTTCTTGGTATCATATATTCAGAAGGAAATGAAACATTTATCCGAACCTCATTGGAACAAAATGACATATACACAACATGTTTAGGTCTCAAAATATTGCAATTGTGCAAAGGAAAACTGTGCTCACTTCTGAAGATATCAATATCCACTCATGGATATAAATGATATTTTTTCAAAACCATAGGATATTCTTAGAATACTTCTTTGATCCAGTTTGTTACTTAAGCTATGTGTTATTGTTTAATGTTTATGTATTTGTATTTAGTATATATGAGCCAATTCTCCAAGACAAGTTACAAGAACAATGAGGTACTATTAAATAGAATGTCAAGGTAGCCTTAGTACTAAAGCACTTGAAATGTATATAGCATAGATACACTCCCCTCCATAAGTTTGGCAACTGGAAGTTTTCACTGGATAGCATATCAAAGTCTGTCAATATTTGGACCTTGATTTTGATTTTAATTAAAATAGTCTGGAAATTAATGGCTTTTATTGGTAACTTTCACGAGTGAACCAAAAGATGCCTTCCAGATACCAAACTTATGGAAAGGAGTGTATATATTTGATATCTGATTGCTACATTTAAGCTATATTTATAAATTATAATATATCTTTATTACTTATGTTAATCTGTTAATTGAAATATAACCGAGATATACATGCTATATATCATAAGTGAGTGAAATAATTCAATTATAAGTTATAGGTTAGCTATAAGTGAGATTGTGAAAGATATTTATACCTCATAATATCAGTTTATAAGGAAAATGCTAGTTATTCTATGTTTTTATCAAAGATAGTGGTCACATCAAGTACATTATGATTTAGAGTACTAGTGAACCTGGAAGGGCCAAGTTGCATACATGTATTGTATGAATATAGTGTTTAGAAAGTCTAGCCCATCCTGTTACATGCCTAGTTATAACATATCAGTTCAACATGTGCCACTCTTGCAATAAACAAGGCAGTAGCATAAACACATGTCATATTTTAGGATGTCATTTTTTGGAATAAATCTAGCAAAATGTGTTATCTTAAGGAAATACACATTATAAGACATGGAATGTCAATTGTTGCAGTGATTGGGGTTTTAAGGGTAACATTGATGAAATATTTTGGAGGGGAAGGCTTCAGTCCAGAAACAAGGAAACGTGATACCCTCCCACCTAAATATATTCTAACATTTACAGCCCTTTCCCAATAGACCATGAAAAATAAAATTTTTGTAAATTCTTTAGTGAGAAAATTTTCAACTTCTTGTTCATCCATTACTTCCATCCTTCCATATCTCTAAGCCAATAAACAACACAAAAAGTGAAGAATGTATTGTTTGAGGCAAATAGGATTGAAAGTGTAAAAACATATTTTTTTGTCTTTGATTCATTGCAACACAAGGTTTGAAGGTATTTCTTATAATTTATTAGGTCAAGAAGACTTTAGCCTAATCTCCTAAAGTGCACCGTTTTTTAGAGTTTTAAAATTGATCAAGATATTTAATGATCAAGTAACATTCAAAAACATGAAAGTGTGGGGGAGGGGGGAGTTTGAGCATTGAGTTCACATCCCCTCTTAGTGCAAATGTACTGAGTGAAGAGATTGATGATTTATGATTATGACCTTCCTCCATCACTGTATGAAACATAAAGCTGGCATTACATGTATGTCATTGCCATCTATATTCAGAGAATATACAATGATATAACACATTTCACTAACATTAAAATTGATATTGGGTACTATCTAGACACTATGACTGAAATATATATTAAGAGCAAAAATAGTGAAAATGAAATAATTGGTATTGTAAAATGATTTGAATGGGAACCATTAGTGTCAATAGATAGATTATAATATAATTAATTACCCTATTATAGTATAAGCATATAGCTCAATGACATGTATGTTGCACTGACAAAAAGCTATATTGACATCAAACCAAATTGCACTTAAATGACAAACTATTTTGCAGTAATTACATATTATAATTGTGTTATTGCATTTTTTATTGAACAGAATATTCAATAGGATATGTTCAATAAGAAAAAATGCACTTTAGTCTAATTTAATTTTTCGACCCAACCTGTTCTCAGAGCAAAATGATGCTCAGAAAATAACAATATATTTTAAAGTGATATTAAATAGAGTTTATGGTATAAACAGTAGACATATACACATATATATATACATATAATATTGAAGTTTATCTAAAAAAATTCAAAATCATAATTAAAGATATCATTATATTGAACATCACAAGACCAAAACTACATACCATAAGTAATCCATAATACCTAATTTTAATTGTATTATATCCTAATATATTCAATGAATAAGAACTTAAATTATATACAATAACTAGTACATGTAGTTTGTTGGATGCTACTGACCTATGTGATAATCAGTTAGTCTGGAGATAATCCGGGTGGAAATTATCTAATGTTAATCCAAACCCTCTTGATGGGTCATGTGATCTATACATAGGGATAATATTACGTAATCCTCTTGATAATTTTTTCATGAGATATTACCTAATACTTTTTCTTCAAATATGTGATGATATCAGCTATATATCAGACTAGTGTTTTAAAGTTATATCTCGAAGAAATTCTTTCATTTTTAGAAAGTTTTAAGTGGATCTGTTCTTTTCTTAGAACCAATCCACCTACTAAATTCAAATTGAGTATGTGAGTAAAGCTGTATGAAAACAAATGACTACAATTAAATTTGAATTGAGTATGTGAGTAAAACTGTATAAAAACAAATGACTAAAATTAAATTTGAATTGAGTATGTGAGTAAAACTGTATAAAAACAAATGACTACAATTAAATTAGAATTGAGTATGTGAGTAAAACTGTATAAAAACAAATGACTACAATTAAGTTAGAATTGAGTATGTGAGTAAAGCTGTATAAAAACAAATGACTACAATTAAATTTGAATTGAGTATGTGAGTAAAACTGTATAAAAACAAATGACTACAATTAAATTAGAATTGAGTATGTGAGTAAAACTGTATAAAAACAAATGACTACAATTAAGTTAGAATTGAGTATGTGAGTAAAGCTGTATAAAAACAAATGACTACAATTAAATTTGAATTGAGTATGTGAGTAAAACTGTATAAAAACAAAGGACTACAATTAAATTAGAATTGAGTATGTGAGTAAAACTGTATAAAAACAAATGACTACAATTAAATTTGAATTGAGTATGTGAGTAAAACTGTATAAAACAAATGACTACAATTAAATTAGAATTGAGTATGTGAGTAAAACTGTATAAAAACAAATGACTACAATTAAATTTGAATTGAGTATGTGAGTAAAACTGTATAAAAACAAATGACTACAATTAAATTAGAATTGAATATGTAAGTAAAGCTGCGTAAAAACAAATGACTACCCTTATGTTAAACCCACAAGTATTTACTTATCACTTTTTGTCAGAGTTATAAATGAAAGACAAAAGGATGTGATGAGTTGCTAATTCCCCCTCCCCTATTCACCTCTCCCTACTCTTCTATTTCAGGTCGACTCTTATCAGAGGATAATGTCTGATAAGTCAAATTGGGTAATTAAGTTTACACTGTAGATACAAACATAACATATCCTGGTGTTTCTCAAGGAAGATAAGAGCAAGTTCCTGAGAAACTAAAGCATCTCTTACAACTAGTAATTACCAACACATGATTTACACAATTTACACATTTCTTACACAAAATATTACATCAATTACGCTAAATTCCTTTTTTGTCAATAATAAAAGAAAGAGAATCATTCTGTGGAATCTCTACATAGTAACTATGGTCAGTTCATATGTTTTTTTGCAGTATCTGACATTCTACTTATGTCTCAAATCCAATATATTGTATCTTATTATATTAATGGGTTAAGAATTTACACTAAAATGATTATGCTTATATATTCAGTGTTAATCTTGCAGATTATGCAAACTGAATCATGAATTTAGCAAAGCAATTATAGCATTGCAAAATTGAACAATTATTAAGAAAATAAAGGAATTTAGTTACATTCTAACCTAAATAAAATTGAATTAAAATCAAGATTTCAATTAAATCCTAGATAAGGTGAAACAGCCACAAACAAACCACACCAAAAATAAACTACTTTGACATAACTGCAGTAATCTCCAAAGAAACTTCTCAATGGGGTCCTAATTTTTCCAACTTTGGTGGAAACATCTCAATATTGCATTCGTTTCACAATATTTCCGGTAAGGTGGTAAGTAATTTTCAGATATGCAATAGAGCGATCACTTTGCCTAAAAACACACTATTACACAAAAATTCCTAATTATTATAGAATATAGGAGTTGGCAAACTACATAAATATTCAGTTTCTAAAAAGATGTCAGCACATTTTACAATAAAAGACTGCACTTCCACTAATATATTTTTTCATACTATTATGTTTTGTGATTTCGAAATTTCATGGGTTTTAATTTTTGTTAACTTTCTGTTTTTCCAAATTCCACTGCTATTGATTTCCATGAATCTTCATACTTCCCAAATTTTTGAACCTTTTGATTTATCCTTTAAAGTCTGGTTACTAAGAGGTTCATTTCGATTAAAATGTCATGCCTATCAGCATCAATCAATTATATCAGTTCAAAGCAACAATTACAATGATTTAATACATAATTAAACACACAAAACATGAAGATAAAAAATGAATACTTCAAGTGTCATCTGTTGCAGCATAATTGATTCTAATAGACATTATTATAGACTAGTTATTAAAACTTATCTAATTAATAGCTCATCAATCAATGTACCTACTACCCATCTATCAAATTATGTCAACTTACTCTTATAAGTTTCTTCATTTATAATCTTATCACTTTCTCTAATTTTCAGCCTTACTTTTGTCATATCCTAGCCAGTAAAAAGGGGAGGGGCATTGAATTCTTTGCTTTCTTATTTTTTGGCTATTATAGCTATTTTTACAAATATACCTTTTTAACATTTCTTAACATAATTAAATAGAACATGATATTTCATTGTTCAATAAATGTTAACTACATGTACACCCCACTATGTGCCCTGCCTTTGTGTACCCCGCCTTTCTCTGATATAGGATGGGAACTACATGTATTTAGGAGGAGAGGGGTAGACTTATATATCAAAGATGGAAATGTTCCTCATACCATATGCCTTAAGGTAAGTTTTTTCCTGTATCATAAATATTTGAGTTTTCCTGTTTGGCTTTTTCCTACTTCATAAATATTTCAGCTATAAAATTTGAAATTTTTCTTTTGAATGTGTACCATGAAACAACCTAAAAACAATTGAAAAAAGTCTTTTATCCTCTGTTTTTCTTTGAAAAGTAACTTGACATCAATTCACTTACCAAGTGTTGTAAATCTTGTACATGGCCTCTGGTAATCCTTAGATGCACAAGTCCTTCAGGATATGATGTAACTGCTACAATGGGATATGGTGTAACTGCGAAACTGCTACAATACCATATGACATCACTGCAACATCTTGGGATGTCTCAGCTGCGTACACCCCAACACCCGACTCCCTTGTCACCATACACCACCTCAATTGAAGAATATATTTTTTATATGATTTAGTACTTTCTCTTAATAGTACATGATTGACATTCTCCAACTTAGAGATTTGGTTTGAAAACTGCATTGAAAATAAAGACAATCAATGAAATAACATTTACATGCACTTGTTGATGTCTTCAAAAAAACTTACATAATCTAAGAAAAAATTATTTACCTAATTTCCTCTTCTTCTTTTCAACTACAGCATGATAATGGGAGTTGAACTCATTGCCTGAAATATCTCATTTAAAGACACCTGGTACATATTGTCATAATATATACAAGGTGGCTAAAAAGTACATTTGAATATATCAAGCCTATTATGACAGCTGAAACATGTGTTATAAAATGATAACCTAATTTTCTACAAAATGTTACATAATATGTTATGTGACATATTGCGCATGGATTAATAATGCTGTTTCTTCATGTATTGTACTTATAAATTGCTATTAAAGAGGGATGTTGCGATAGGAGAGTGCAATCAAGGTCCACTTGATTTTTTGCATGTTGAGCCGTATCACATATTCACCCATCTACTTACCAAAGAAGAAGTCCAAAATCTGCCACTTTATGTGCTAATTTTGTGACTGTGTGACTAGTCGAATTATTTTTATCAAAATTAATCTGAAACTTGAATTAACCAGGAAATGCATATTTCATCTGATTGGTAATTTATCAGTAAGCACTGTCACATGACCAAAGGAGACCTATAAAAAAAATTAACAACCAGAACAACGGCAACGCCAAAGCGTAGCGAATCCCATCGAACAGCCATGGCTGGCATATTTACAAACAAAGTATATAGCACAAATGGCAGCCATTTTTCAAAATGGCCACCTTCTACCATTAGACAGTGTCATTAGACAGTGTGCCATGCTTATAGTATTTACATACCAAATATAAACAAAATCGCTCCACTACTTTTCGAGTTATAGTAAAATACGTCCAAATGACAGCCATTTTTCAAAATGGCCACCTTCTACCAATAGTGTCATTAGACAGTGTGCCATGCTTATAGTATTCACATACCAAATATGAACAAAATCGCTCCACTACTTTTCGAGTTATAGTAAAATACGTTAAAATGGCGGCCATTTTGAAAAATGGCCGCCTTCTACCAAAAGTGTCATTAGACAGTGTGCCATGCTTAAAGTATTCACATACCAAATATGAACAAAATCGCTCCACTACTTTTCGAATTATAGTAAAATATGTTAAAATGGCGGCCATTTTGAAAAATGGCGGCCATTTTTCAAAACGGCGTTCCCTATATCCCTCTGAACTTCGTTCGATGGGATAATCATCTTTGAATCTGATTGGCTGCCTGGCTCATGGCACATGTAGAGTTTGATAGAGTTTTCCCTCAATTGCTGCGATCAAACTCGATTGTGTATTCTGACAATTGGTTGTTCTGTTGATTTTCTGGATATATTGGCAATACTATATGCAAAAGTTGGTCTAAAGATATATCTATTAAACTTATGTAAGTTATTATATAAGCTATTATAATAACACCGGAATAGCCTGACAACGGTATAGTCAGATACCGCTGTCACAAATGGCGGACATAACAGTCCCTTCAATTAGATGTTCATGAACTGTATACATGTATGTTTAATAGAGCACCTAGACTAAATTCCTTTTGAACAACAATCAATCAAAGTGTCTTTATACTCATTGTACAGTTAATAAGTCAATTAGATTTTAATGAACTGTATGTTTAATAGAGCACCTAGACTAAATACTTTTTGAACAACAATCAATCAAAGTGTCTTTGTATTCATTGTACAGTTAACAGGCCCGTAGCCAGGATTTGCCAAGGGGGGGTTCAGTTTTCAAAAATTTCCAGGGCGGGTTCACATTTGACAATTTTGGCCCAAATATGGCTAAAATCACTTGAAAAGTGCTCAAAATGGTGAAAAACTGCATGATTTTGAAAGAATTTTTGGCCAGGGGGGGGGGGGGGTTCGCCCGAACCCTGCGAACCCCCCCTGGCTACGGGCCTGGTTAATAATGTTCTACCATTGAAATAAAGTCTTTAATCAAAATGAGATATGGGACAACAGAGACCGTAAACACATATACCATTCTTTTTGTAAATTATTTCAAATTCAGATTCTGTTATCACTGACGATATCGAAAACCCTATATTATTGCAATTCATGACCATATGTGATCGAAATTGGGATTTCATATGATACATCATCACAAGAGCTTAATACATGCATAGAATTAGCGACGATAAAATCCCATGAAATGAGGACCAAGTGATTAAAGAGTTGAAGCGACGGTTATGTCTGCCATTTGTGACAATGGTATCTGACTTTACCGTTGTCAGGCTATTCCGGTGTGCTTTAAAGATGTAATGATAATAGCACAATGAAACAATCAGTAAGAATTTGTTACAGAAGCCAACCACCAACCGCTGGATGCCGTCACAAAAAACGGGGACCATAACAATATGTCACCACTTCTTTGTGGTGACATAATGAGGTACTATATATGATACCATTGTCATCACTTAAGATAAAGGGCAACCATTTTTAAATTAATGTACTCATAATTATGAAATATGTACTCTGAAGGATAATTTGCTATCTGAAATCTAAAATAAGTGGTTTCATAGGTTCATGATTTGAACATTTTGTACTTACAAGAGCAATTGCCCAGAAACCTGGGTTCGATCCCACTGGGGTGAAATGACTTTTTCATATCAGCCCTTAGCACAGGATCTCATTCTGTGTTTTCATTAATGTATACCAGTATACTGACAACTGCTTTTGGACTTCTTGTGTATTTAAAGGTTTCGTGATCAGAAAGCAGCTAAGCCTCTGCCAAAGTGATGCATTTCAAACTTGCAAAATTTGGGAACAAAAATGTTTTGTTTATGAATATATAAAGAGATGTTTTATTTTCTATAACTAATCATGTTTGTTTCAATTCCAAATGTCGATTGGAGGTCAATGTTGTTTCAAATTGCTCGTATACTGTTCAAATATGTGAATTTAGTTTTATACCTGAATGTTGGGATCTTTATAATAGCATCATTCCCAAGTCAGGTTATTCCCTTAGACTAAGGATCCCCATGTGGATGATAATATTTTCTGATCGTGATTACATTGTGCATCAGTCAGTATGTCTTAATGTCAAACTATATATCTGATTCATAAGTCTCCTCTGGTTGAGCATATATTGGGATTTGGTCGCATGCAACAAATAACTTGCAAATAATGAGTGTGTGTGTTGATAATTGCAAAGTTTTACCTGATGTGCCACTTGCTCTCCCCACTATGGTGAAATATCACTTTCTCTATAGAGTATATCATGAAGTTCACCACACAACTGAGTATTGAAATTAAATTGTTCAACAATTCTCAGTATTGTTTACCAAGCAACTCTGTCATGTTCTACCAACATCCTGTCACTTTTTTTATCAATAATATTCAATCTGTTTAGATGTTCATCAAGCAACTCAGTCATGCTGAAAAGCACCTTGGCATTGTTTATCAACAATAGCGACTGAGTTTAAATGTTAACCAAGCAACTTAGTAATATTCACCAAGCAACTCAGCAATATTCATCAAGCAACTCAGTAATGTTCACCAAACAACTCAGTATTGTTCTCCAAGCAACTCAGTATTGGTCACCAAGCAACTCAGATTGGTCGCCAAGCAACTCAGTATTGTTCACCAAGCAACTCAGTATTGTTCACCAAGCAATTCAGCATTGTTCACAAAGCAACTCCATAATCCTGTTGGACTCTAGATCATTGCAAAGTCTGTTGTATCAAAGAGTTCCTGAGCTGACTCATGAGAGCCATATTGCCCCAGCATGTGTCGTATGTCTGAAAGTATAATCATGTATGAATTTCACATATATTACCATGATATTCCATGACTTATGTAGACCCTGACATCAAGAGACAAGATCAAGAGCAAGATTACTTAGATCACATATCAAGGTCAGGATACAATGATGGTCATTATCTAAGTTTTCAAAATGGCAGACAGGAATAAATGATTCTTAACTTTTTGTTTTTGTTGGTTTAATGCACTTTACTGTGGATTTTTGCCTTTTAAATCCTGCCTGCACAAAACATTACAAATGCTTTCTGTATTATGTATGAATGGCAAAAAAAAGAAATCCTTCGTTAACTTAGGGTATGGTGACATAAATTACAGAGAAATCTAATAGTCATGCGATATCAACTGACATTTACGGGCATGTATCTTGGAAAATATTAAGTCATGGTAAACATAATGATGATAGAAAATGATGGTGGAAATGGAAGTTAAATTTAATGATTTAATCAAACGAGAGGATCAGTGTACATTAATCCAACTAAAACAATACCCCGATTAAGATTCTGAAGGCCCATGAAGTGAACCATAGAAAAGATGGAAGTTATATGCTTATATATTTAGCAGTTATGTCCCTCTCATTGAATATATGCCTTAGGTCTGTCACCAATATAGCCCGAGCTTGCGAGGGTTATATTACGACAGACCGAAGGCATATATTCAATGATACGGACATAACTGTTGTATTACATACTTTTATATCATGGCTACGTTATATCAATGACGCCACGTGTCTGTGTGTGAGTGAAATTAGGAAGAAATGAAACATGACGTCCCGATGACGTCATAAGATTGTCATGGTAAAAGGTTTGGCGGCTATACAGGAATATATAGCCGACCTTCAGCTCCATTGACTTCAATACAAATGCTTCGCTGGGTATGTAATACAGAAGTTATATAGGACATGTATACAAAAGGCCAAGGCAAAGACTCCTTGATAAATACCTGATGAATATTCTGTGTTTTTGCCTCTAATTTTTTCTGTGAGGCCTCAAGATGTTTTTGACGGTGAGCCATAGCTTTTTCCAGACTTTTATTTTCTTCTTCAATAGATGTTAAGATTCTCTGAAGCTTTTGTTTTTGTCTGACTTTGATAGGCATTAGGTGTGATCTCATGTCAGCATCCACATCACCACTGGGTCTCCTGTGTAAATATGAGTAAACTTTACATAATGTATTATATATTATCTTTAATGATGTCCACTGGGCAAAGTTGAAAATGATGAACACTAACCTAGTTTTTGTTGTCATACATGTAATATAAAGTAAACACTAAGTGTTTCTCTGAGTTTAAGAAAAAGTTAAAATACTCCAAAGTTTGTTTTGGTGTGAATATCTGATTTTTACACGGGAAACAACGAAGAAGCGCCCCACATTTTGATTCACAAGGTTTCGATTGTTCCTACCTCACCTTGTGTAAATAAACCCCAGCTGAGTTCACTCTCAATATTGCTCCTCTTGGCAGTTGCCCGCATAGTTTTGTGAGACGCCACAAAACCAATCGGCCAATCAACAATGCAATATTTATTTAGTCCATATAGACATTTTCAATATTTTGTCACGTGACGAAGCAGAGCGTTCTGATTGGGTCTGTGGACTTAACACTGGGCCATGAACCGCCACATATGAATAGGACCTTTTATGCCACAGGATCTCTAGACCCAGTGAATAAAGACGATGGCGTCCCACCCACTTTTGTCAAATATTAACACTTCAGGGGCCGCTTGCTTAGAAAAAAGCACACTAATTATGGTTATTAAAGTTTTAATAGCCTTTGTTGCCTGTAAGAATCCCAAAAAACTATATTTGAGAAAAAATCCAAATACTATTTAAAAAATCTAAACCTCCATGAGAGAACATACTCAATAGTTTTCATTTTTCACTTATTTCATCTTTTCAGGCAGTGCCAGATGCCATAATAATTACTAGAGACTGTGTCATATAATAAATGAAATGTCAAGTACTTCAACAATAGTAACCATGTGAAATAAATGTCAATTTCTCAGATTTCACTGAACCTACCATGCTATTCTGTCAGGGGAATCTGCAACAATTTTCTCCAAATCTTCAAGAAGCGGGATCACCTTTTCTTCTTCCAACATTCCATCAACTTCTTGCTACAATTCCAATACAGATATAGAATATTAAAACTATAAAGTTTAAACATTATGTACCTGATGATGACACACAGAATTTTGTTTGATAGATGTAAGGGTGATTGTGCTCAGTCAATTGTTTATCACATCTATTTTTCTACAACTTTTGGGCCAGTTCATGTCTGTACTCACGTTCCTCTTTACTTGCATTAAATTAGTAATCTAAGAAAAATCCAACATCTTTTTTTTTTAATTTGAACTACATATAAATTATGGTTAAATTATATTTTAGTTAAAATACATGTAGTTACTAACCTTTATGACAGTTTCAAGTTGTTTGGAAAACTGTGTATGGATATTTTTCAGCATTTTTGGTTGCTTCTCAAAAATTGGCTGAAAGTTCTTGACAAATAACTTCAACCTATAAGTAAATAAAAGATATTATAACACACCTATGATGATGTATAGTGTAAACTGTTCACAAGACAGCAGGCCAATATAACCTTTGAAAAGCCCGCTAACTTTATGATTGGTCAAGCACTGGGACTACGTCATACGTAGGCAATGTTATGAGTGTATTTTCTCTATGTATAATCCATCTCCAGGGGTTTCATTAGCAGAAGGCAACAGGTGATTTTCACAGGTTGATTTCATGAAATCGCCTGTTGTTTTTAGGGACTTTTCAACTGTTCCATGTTAAATATATGATTTCCATTAATTTTGCATGTTGTTTTCATTTATTTAGCCTGTTGCGAGAAATTCTAGTGAAACCCCTGGTCTCATTACTTTTCATAGTCACATGTATCACCCAATGAAGTATTCAAAGTCCTCTTTATTATATTTAATGCACGCTGGCATTCAACCCATTGGTGATACTGTGCTCTGAAGCCATCAGTGAAACTTGTTCAAAGGGCTATCTGGACTGCAGTTGAAAATTCCTGCATACATTTAGTTCCATACTGTACATTTCTTAACTAAACCATCACCCTATAGAAAAACACTAAAATCAAGGATTTTGTCATCATAGCATCTTTGCACCTGATTCATAATTTCTTGCCTTCATTTGCACACATTGCTAGAATTCCATAATGGTAAGTTGTGTGACATTATGTGCCCAGCCTACCCAAAAGTCAAGTTTCCATAGTAACCGTTAATGGACAGGGTGGCAAAGGGTTAAACACTAGTTTACTAGCTGTATCAATAATATGTACCGGTAATTACAATTAATCTTTGGTATAACATGTAGGCATGTCAGGGACTGTTGACAGTACAAATTTGAACCAAAAGTTTTACGGTCAATGTGTACTTTCACACATTTTAATGCAAATATGGACTTCAACTTCCTCACATTGTCAACATCTTTCAGTTTTGCAAAAAGAGTGCACTAATGTACCTAGAAAAGAGTGTGGAGAATATCCTGTTCATAAAATGTATGAAAAATGAGAAAATTCAGTGACCTACTTTTTGAAAGTATAAATAAGTAGGTCACTTTGTTGTCCCATCTTATTTACAACACTCTTTTCTCGGTACCTTCATAGAGGCTGACGGTAATTCCGGTTATACGGTTTCGGTACGGAATTGAGCATTTACCGGTATTGAAATTATTAACCGGTTAACCGACGATAATCCCCGGGGAAATAAAAGACACGTCGTTTTTTAATTATTTCGTTTAATTTCCACTTTCACGATGAGTACATTTTCATAGACATTTAGATGTCCATGTTTGGCAGTTCAGGTGTGATTTCCATGTTTGGCAGTTCAGGTGTGATGTCCATGTTTGGCAGTTCGGGTGTAGTAGCTTCATGCTCAGGCTCAGATTTGGTTGTAGTTATGTTTGTAATAATTTTCGCATTAAATTGAAGTCAATTAGTCAACATTAGATAAAATGCCGTGTTTTTTACAGAATGTTTTCAATGATTGGTTTAAGAGAAAAACATTGTTGAATTCAGTTCTCCATATCGATACCACTCCTTTACAAACAACAAGGCATTGACAACCTCAGGTTGAAGTCGTGCCCGTTTGGAAGTGGTGGTGTTGCCAGCTGCATCGAATCTATTTTACCTACCCCACCCCCATGTATACTGCACGTCGCTTGCTATTACAGTTGAGAAATGGTTTGAAATGTGTAATACATTTATTTTAAAACTAAATATACATCTTGATTCGTAAGATAGTTACATACTATTTCGTGAAGTTCATCAGTATGGGTTCAAATCGGTCTCGCACCATGTATGCATATATACTTGAGAACCTACGGAGAGAGTTAGGAACAAAGTGGGGGTGGCAGCGCATTGGCATTTTATCTTACATATCTTTACCGGTATTTCGGTAACGGTACGGTTATTAGCGTGATGGTTACCGGTACTGGTTTTCAGTACCGTTGCGACCTCTATACCTTCAGTGTTTGTGTTAACGCCATTTTTTCATTATTTTGTCAAAATATTCCAAAAAGTTGTTTTTCTTATTTGGATATTTATTTTTTACGGACTGGCAATAAGTGTGAAATTAGTGTATTAATTTTTGAAAATGTCAGTCCTCTATCTTGCCCTACTAGGAGACTATAGAGTGCTGACAATTGTCAGTACGAGAGACTGCCCAGTGAGTATTTGCTACCATACCGACAAGTCGTACTCTATACAACATGTTAAGAGATAAAGTGATGTGTTTGGTATCCAATAAATGTCACTGTCAGGTTATACAAGTTCCTGTGCTAAGATATTGAATTTGATTTTCATTTTGAATGAAAAATATTACTGAACACAGCTGGCTCAAAAGCCAGCTGACGAACTGTTAAAATACACCATCTTGTGAAGTGGTTTTCTCCAACTTCCAGCAAAGCGCGCTGGAATAAGAAACGGTATTTAAGAAGACAATTGAACGTAACTTGCCCTTTTCATGACACATGGTGACAATAAGTCCTACTTGTCGTGTAATTGCAGTGGAGAAATTCCAGAACTGGCGCGCACCATTTTTTAACTTTTTGCACATGCGCATTGTACTTTTTATGCGCATGGGTATTACCGCTTAAAGATCATTTGACTGTTCATATTTAGCCAACACAAGTTATTTTGTAGCAAATTTTTACTTTCGAAAGTCACGAGATCTCGCGAGACCTAAAATGGCTGGAATCTAAATTCAAAAGTTTTGTTGTCTCATAGAACATTGATTTACGACAACAACAGACTATTGAAGGAACAAAATAAGTTAAAGGTTGAATAAATAGTGCAGAGTGCCGATATTCACAATCACTGGCATCCTAAATCCCCGGGAATCTTCTCCTGACATCGACAGAAAAAATGCTCACGTACCTTTTAACGATTTCCCGGTGATATTGTCATTGGATTCCAGCCCCGTTTTCCCCTAACGTTCCATCCAACATGCTGTTTCCTATATACTTTGTGCGTGTCAAGAAGATCTTGAATATTGGCAGATTTGAGGTGTTTTAGTCTTCGATTTTTTTTTATTTTTCTTCGTCAGTGGACCAGGTTAACTGCAGGAGTTGCCAGTAATAGACCGTCAACGGCGGTCATATCGTGTATGTGCATACGGTTATATCAGACAACCGCGGATGCAGTCTTACCTAATCTCAGCTGCAGTTAAAATTTTAAATGGCGGAGATTCAGAAATGTTTCAAAAAACAAAATGTGGGACGTCCAACCTTTCAATTGCTTATTTAGAAGTCTATTTGCAAGTCTGAATAGTGGTATTCGTCGACAAGTGATTTTAAGAAAATAGGTATGGCGAAGAAGACATTAGGCCAAACGTTGCGCTAATCGCTCGGGAAAGGTAAAATTATTCCCAAATTTCTTCTATATTCTTTATTCAACCTTTAACAACAAATAAATTTTGTATTGATTCAAATATACATGTATAGCGTATTATAAAGGCTACTCAGCACAGCGTTTAGTCAAAATGGGCTCGATTTACTCTCTTCAAGTACACATACATCCAACTTCCCATGCCAGAGGTCAGCTCGGTGATCTAGACTTAGAAGTTAGAGTACTATTTTTTTCATGGCCTGAGTTCATCGCTAACATGCTAAATATAAGAGTTAGCTGACGTTTGGGAGTCTGACTTACCTTCTAAAGGTTAAAACCCGAATCTTAATGAAACCATATCACTTTTGTTGCGTCGATGATGATGCATAAACACAGCATTTGATAGAAATTAGTGTAAATGCTTTTCTGACTTTTTCATTTTGCATCAATGTTGACTTCCGGGAAGGCGTTGTAGTTATCACGAAATAACGCATTGACCCTTGAACTTTACTTTGTTGACGTGTGAACCAAGCATGTCTGGTGTGAAAATTAAAAGAATATTAAGCAATGTTCTACATCCGCCAAGCTAAGTCAAGTAGCCAATATTTAAAATTACCAATTTCAAGTGAAGTATGCAACGAACGAAACTGCGTGATCTGCACTCCAACTATTGGTCTGAACAAAATGCTACGTAGAAATTAGTTCAACGTCGTTAAACTCAATAACGGCGTTCTTTACTATTAGGAATTTTTTCTTGGGGCCATTATTGAGTTTAACCTCCATGCTATTCTTTCCTTTGATGCAAGTTGTGGATCTATCGAAACCACTTTTCCTCGCTAATATGACACTGATACTTAACAATAATATAAAACCACATTTCATCAGGCGATTTCACATAATATTATTGTGTTAAATGTTCATTTTTAATCGTAAAATGAGTCTTATTCTTACCAATTTATGAGACGAATATTTCAACCGGCAATGTCTGTCTGTGCGTCGCCAAAGTAAAATTGGTCAGCGAAACGAAATTGTTCTTCAATATTGATATTTATTATAACCATCCAGTATGACACGAATCTTTGCTTTATTCAAACAGCGCGTGTATTCACCCAAGTTTACTCTATTGTTATTTATAAAAACTTTAAAAAGCAATACTCGCAACATTATTGATGCATTTGATTACTGGTAATTTCAGCTCAAAGAAATATAGATGTCATTGATTGTGCTAGATTGTGATTGTGTTGAATAATTGTGCCTAAATATTAAATTATGGTAATTGTTTATGGTTTTCTGCTTGCAAAAACGTGCCTAGGAATACACTCAATTGTTTATAACTGGGATCATGTATTTTACTCAGCATACATGCTTTGTAACAATTGTTACATTTTAATAACTTCGATGTTTATCGCAAGCCTCCTACAGTATTACAATATTTTGTACTTATATATAGGATAACCGGGGTTCGTTTCGTTTTATGAACTTGTTTCGTTCAGTGTTGCTAACGGCGGTTTATTCCTGAAAGGATTTGCCATTTCGATGTTACCGGAACCAGAACAGAGTTTTCTAAACTAAGAAAAAGCCTTCTCCCAACATTTTCATAATTATACATCGATGAGGTTACAGGGGGGTATGTGATGATTTGTATTTATTCATAAGGTATGTATGCATGCGTTGATCACATTATTTCTGTAACGATACCATCTTATTACGGTTTAATTAGTTCCGCATGTCGAAACCTGCTGAACGATTAAGGACAGGGTGCATGTTGGGAAATTTTCTGCATTCCTTAATTGAGTCACATGTTATTTTTTAAACAAAAATAACTCCTTCCCTAGATTGTCTACATCTTCCAAGTTTGCACAAATAGTGCACTGTTGTGCCTAGAAAAGCCTTGTGAGAAGGTTTGTTTTGTAAAATGTATAAAAAATGAGAAAATTCAGTGAAAAAAAAATCTGAAAATTTTTTGAATTTTTTCACTGAATTTTCTTGTTTTTTATACACTTTATCAAAACATTCTTCTCACAAGTCTTTTCTAGGCACATAAGTGCACTCTTTGTGCAAAACTGGAAGATATAGACAATGTGGGGAAGGAGGGATTCTTGTTTTAAAAATAACATGTGACTCAATTGAGGAATGCAGAAAATTTCCCATCATGCACCCTGACCTTAAATGATCGCATCAAGGGCAAAATCATCATGGAAGTTAGACCTAGCCGGGGCCATAAGACATGTCAGATAAGAAACGAGGCCCAGGCTAGGTCTAATGTTGTTGGACTACGTAGAAATATGAGCCGTCTGCTGTATTAGTCGATTAATAGAGTAGGACTCCCAAACGTGAGGTAACTCTTATATTTAGCATGTTAGCGACGAACTCAGGCCATGAAAAAAATAGTAAAACTACATGTAAGAAAAATCAATTTTGTTTACTTTCCAACGGAGAGACATCTTGAGATCGTTTTATCTAGTGCTTCACGCAGTAATGTAGCATACTGTCCTTCTCCATTTTCTTGGACTTCACCTTCATCATTTTCATCAGCTGGAATTACTGGATTTTGATCAATTTCTTCAGAAATTTCCATTTTCAAGTTTGAAAAATTCCCGCTTCCGCCCTGCCTCGTTTTCAATAACACAACATGTCAAATCGATTTTAGAGAAGATCTTACATTCTTTTAGTTGATTTGAGAACATTTCATCGTAAATACACAACTGTTAACGGAATACTATACTGCTTTACATTGTGAGTATTAGTTTTGATGATTCACAGATGTGATATTGGAAGGTTTCTTTACGAATTGACATATTTACTCTATTATCGCCCAATATGTTTTGATTTTTTAGGTGCAGATTGCTGATGGTCTCGATGCGATGCTACCTACAAATTTACAGCATAACAACATAATCCCTGGTCATCTCTGCTCTCTTTACAAGTATGTTTTGTAGAATGAAGAGATATATACTCAGAATGCACGTTTGGAAAGTGATTGGAAGTTTGATGCTGGCAACAAATCTTATAGCCCTGATGTATTTATGGTTGCTGCAGAGTAATTTGGAACACCATGAAAAATTCAAGAAACCAATACAAGAGAAGCTTCCTACTCATAAACAAGAAAATTCTATAACTGTGATCATTCGTGAATTTGAAGCATTTGATAACGTACTTCCATTAACTATTGAGCATCTTCACTCTAAATTTCCTTCATACAAACTCATTGCATTTACTGATAGCGTACCATACCCACCGATCCAACTGCCAGATATTGCAAATGTCGCATTTATTAACTTGAATCCAAACCCTGACATTTCACGCCACATGTCATTGATAGATGATCAAATTAGTTCGAAGTATGTCATGATAGTTCCGGATGGTATCAAGATTCCAGACTATCTACCACTTGACACAGTATTTATTGACAAATATAAAAAGTTGTCACCAAGTGCTAGAATCATTGCTATGCCAATTGGAAATAAAGGAGGTAACCATTTGAATGTGGAAGTGAATCTAAGGGAATGGACATTGAAGTATTCACAAAGCAAGGACCCCTTGTGCACTGGACTTTGGGGAAACTACATAATATTTATGCAAACTTCAGATTTGCTAGAACTTCCCTATCCATTGGAACGTCCATTCCTAGATGGTCTTTTCATACAAACAGCTCTAAGGGATTGGAAAGTTTCTGTTGTAAATATAGAGCCCAAAATTACATTTGTGAAAGATCTTTACTCGGAGCCTCACGATGCTTGGAAATTAAAGTCACTTACAAGGACACGGCACAAAGAATTATATAAAAAATTTGGCATTAAGTATGTAGTCCGTGCTAATAGAGTGGAGGAGTGGCATGGATGTAGTAAAGACACGGAAAGGTGTTTTGGAACAGTTCATGATGAAACACCATCATATATTTATGCCGGTAAATGGACACCACCATGTTGCCTTCAAGCATTACGTCTGACAGGGAGACATGTGTTTAACGAACTCAAAAAATGTAATGCCCGATTTTGGCTTGAGGGTGGGAGCCTACTTGGGGCTGCTAGAAATGGCGACATCATTCCTTGGGATTATGACATTGACATTGGCATTTACAAAGATGATATTAGAATCTGCAAAAATCTTAAAGATGTCACCAGAGAGTTTCCATTCATCGATGATGATGGCTTCATATGGGAAAAAGCAAAAGAGGGAGAATTTTACAGGGTCCAATACAGTGAGACGAACCACTTACATGTTGACATTTTCCCATTCTACCCGAAAGATAATCATGAAATGCCGATTATGACGAAAGATACATGGTTTAAAACACATAGACAAGACACAGAATTCCCAGAACACTATTTGAAACCTTTCACGAACATAGACTTTATTGGAGTGCAGGCTCCCGCGCCAAATCATGTCAGAGAATTTCTTGAGTTGAAATTTGGGAAGGGTGTTATTGAGAAGCCGGAATATCCCAATCCAGCAAAAATAAAACTTAAGCAAGTTGGTTCTTTGTAAGTCGTATTTACGCTGATACGAAGTACAGTCAAAGCTTCTAAGTGAACACTTTTGGTGACAAGTTCAAGTTAGGAGGTGACTGAACAACATGACTGACAAGTGTTCACTATAGAAACATGTTCACAGGTTTAAGACATACTGTAGTATATAAGTCCACCTTATATTTATTTTAAATACCGGTATGTCTACCTAAAAGTGAGAGAGTCCAAAATATTTTTTGTTAACTGAAAAACTGGCTTTCAAGTTTATTTTTTATAGAGAGAAAGTTGAGCAAAAATTATTTTCATTTCATCAGTATTAATAATGAAGACATACTGTAGTTCAGCTGGATATACTAATACTTTGTGTGGACACAGTGGAGTTCAATTGGACACCCTGTAGTTCAACTCTGTCAATCAGTTTGGCATAGTGTTATTCAGTTGGACACAGTGTAATTGGGAAAACTGTAGTTATATTCGATACACTGTAGTTCAAATGGTTATCCTGCAGTCCTGTAGTTCAGTTGGACATGCTGTAGTTCAGTTTGACATAATGTAGTTTTATTTGACGTACTGTAATCTTGTAGTTAAGTAGTATTATAATTGCTCAATCATAGAGTTGGTAACAGAGAGGAGGGGTATAGGATATTAGTTAGATTCAGAAATATGGAACAACTTTTTCCAAAAATTAGAGCAGTTTATTCTTCAACATTTCAATGCTGAACATGATAACCAAGCATTTGATAGCACTGTGGTAAAGATGTCTCTGTTAAAAAATTTGTGGTATATGATTATGTGAAAAATATGTCAAATGTCATTCTGGAAAGATCTGAATGTTATCAAAAACAATTTTTTTGACAGATTTCCCCATTTTTGTGGCACACAAATCATGATGTCATGGTGTTTTGAGGAGAAAATATAAAAAGACGAGTCTCAGTTTGAAGAACGAAGTTTATCAGTCTACTGCATGTTACGCCTGCTTTGGACGATTTTGATATTTTTACATTTTGTAGATTTTAAATGTCCTCTTATAATTATCCAAAATTAAATTTTTTATTTGTATATTTTTCATAAATTAGCTGTTCAGACTGTTCTCCAAACCGAGACCTGTCCTTCGTTAAAAATTGCAAAAAAATGTTTATGTTGCTCAAGGTACCTCCAATGCCCTTATCTCAGTTACCATTAACAACTATATCTTTAGCATTATTAGCCATGAATTCTGTGAATTCTTATTTGATAGAATCTCTTAATTGAGCCATGTAACTTTACTTTTTGTTGTTGTCACCCATTGTTACTGTAGACGCTAAATAGACATAATCTATTATGAGGTTTACATTTAATGTTATTCCTTGTTATATGGGAGCTATCCAGGCCCCACTGACATCGCGTGCAATGAGCTCATGTTACACTCCCCCCCAGTTTTCTGCAAGTTAAAATGCTCAATTCTGCAAGTGAAATTAGTGAATTCTGCAAGAAGAAAGGGCTAATTCTGCAGAAATTCCGCGGATATTCGCGGCATTTTTTTATATAATATAAATAACTGTTATCAATTTATGTCTTTGTTTAACTTTCTGACGAGAACCGAAAGAAAAACTAATGGTTTTCGAACCAGTAAACGGGAAAATATCGTGATAGTCAGGTAGTCAGTCACTACATACATGCTGCCATCTAACGGCAGAAATCAAACGATGGCGTTTAGAATTTTCACTTCGCATAATTTGGGTTATTTCTGCAAGGGATTTGACTGAAAACGTGTCAAATTGTTACAGGTAAGACTGACTTTTTAAACTTTTGGAAAATATATGGATTCTGCGGAAAATTCCGCGGAAATTGACCAATATAGTTGATTCTGCAATTCCGCGGGCAGAGGCAAATTCCGTCCGCGCTCTGCAAACACGGAATCCTGGGGGCAGTGATGTTAGAAGCGGGGCCTTGAGAGATATGATAAAATTGAAATATGAAATTGAAACATGAAACTTTTTTAAGTGAAACTCGGTACAACTTTATTTCATAGTACAATGGCTATTTCTATTGCAAGGCAATGGTGTTCTTCAACTCAACGTTCAATACTTCAAGTATATTTTATCATATCTCTCAAGGCCCAACTTCTAACATGAGCTCATTGCTCACGATGTCAGCAGGAATGTGCTCGCGATATATGGGGCCGGGATTGTCACCGTTTGTTAGATACATTTGAAAGGATATCGCATGATTAGATTATAACAGTATTAGTGTATCATTATAGGCCATTATATATACTTATCATATTTATATAACATATATATTTATATCTAATTTATTGATAAAACTGATTCAATGTTAGCAGTCTGTGCGATTGTTTGAGATTATGTATCAGGCATATACTGTACTTCTACTTCATTTGGCACTGCTTATTTTGGCGGATTTTCTGTTTGAAACATTTGGTGGCTACTTAATTTGGAGGACTTGCTATATTTCAATGTACTAATTTACATTGTACTAAAATTACTGGGGAATTAGGTGGCCACTTAATTTGGTGAACTTAACAATTTGGCGCCAAGTTAAGTAGAAGTACAATAGCATACACTTTGAAGGTGTTTTTTTGTTTTTGTGAGTGTAATTTGATTTTATATTATTGTTTACCATGATCAGGTCAAAGTTATTTTTGATTTGCAAACTCATAAATGTGAGTGCAATGATGATTTTTGCATTTAAATTAAAGGGGCAACAAGAATAGACCTTAAATGTTGGAAGAAATCTTTAAAACTTGCCAATATTATATCTTACAATCCTCATGTGATATTAGGAGTTATTGAAGATTTGAAAGTCAAAATTTAATTAAAAATGGACATGCCCACTTTTTCACAATTATTGCAAATAAACTTGAAAATTCTGGTTTCGTTATGAAAGTGGAAAATAGGATGGTCATGAGCAAAACATAAAATTGAGACAATTGTCTTTAGTCTGTGTTGCCCCTTTAAACACCATTACATTATATTCTTAAACATGTTCTTCAGGTTGGATTATTAAATCACAAAACTATTTTTTTCTTTTCACAACCTTTATTTTAAAATTTTGTGGTATTGTAAAATAAAGGTTGTGAAAAAAGGTTTTGTCATTATATTATATATTGTTACATTTTCATGTTTGGTCTCCATTTTGTGTCACAATAACCTGAAATATTGAGACACAAATCGAAGACAGATTTATATTGGTTTAATCACTGGTATTGTCAAATGAACAGTAATTTGGATTAAGATTTGGTTATTTAATTTGGCAAATATTTTGCTTTGGGCTATAATGTCAATTCAGCATTTGGATTGACTACAAATTCACGATTTTGAGCATTATTTATTTCAATGTTTGCTTTTCTCAGCCAATTAACAATCTGACAAAAGACATGATCTAAAATTGTTCCCAAACTTTATGTTTGTATAATTAGAAAAAAGAACATTTTCTTTATTTAAGGCGAGTTATTAAGAGTTTGAGGCACATTAGGCTAAAATGAATACTCGTTGAGTGCATGGGAATACTCTTTGAGTCCAATTGGTTGTTTCAGAAAGAAAATCGTTTTCTTTTTTTAATTTTTTTATTCCTCATGTCACCTTGTAATTTCCCATGGGCAGATAAATGGTAGAGGTGTTGTTTTACCCTGTCCTGGAAACTAGTTTTACAACAACACACATATAATTAATATGTACAGTAATTGTCAATGAGTTCTGTTATTGTAAATGTCATCTGAGTAATTGTAACTGTAATTGTTTATGTTCTGATCAGTGCCAAATATAAATAAACTCAACATATAATATATTTTGTATATACATGTATTGTTAAATTATTTTATTACATATAAAACAGCAATCACGATACATACAAGTACAAGCATGGGCTTTCAAGAGAAAACACAAGGTACAAGTGAAGAATTTTATAACAAATATCCAATATAACAAAACATAAATATGGACGGATTAAGGCCATGGAGCATCAGGTGAGCAACTTATTCCTGGAATACAGAAGGACATAACAGTTATCTACTGGTCTAAATGAAAATGAACTTTTTGAGTTAGATACTGTAAGAAAGGGATTTGAGTATTAAACTCTATCCTGTGAGAAGTACACTGTATACCAGAACATTTGATGAAATTCTAGCACATTCATGGATGTTTCACTGACAATGTCAAATGTGATTGTGTAGATTCTATAGAACTTAGCTAGTTGATACCAACAGAAAGATAACCTTCTTAGAAATGTAGTCTAGGTACAAGCCCCTGTGCCCCTCCTCCCTCTACTTGACTCATACCCTCTCACACTTGTTGGAATGAGTAGTGGGGAGGGTCTCAAGGGCTTGTAGCTAGACTTTAAGAAATGAAATTCCAACCCGCTCCCTCTCTTGTTCAAGTTTGGAGTTCAAATACAGAACTGCATACAGTGAACAATATCAGTTTAATATCACATTTGATAATACTAATTATAGGTCCGAAAAGTTGAACAATTTCCTGTTCTTGCATTGAAAGTTCTTAAATTGTTCTAGAATGTTCCTCTCCATTATCTATTATATTATGATTTATTAGCCACTCTATCTGGTTCTCTCACGAGAGCCAAAAGTTTGTCCATTTTTGCTATTTCCTGTTCCGTCCTGTCTGGTGGTGCCTCGCCCTTCTTAACCTGAAAGAAACAATATATTTTATAAGACATTTTGACTCCCCTCACATTTTGACTCCCCTCGTGGATGTAGGATTTATATCCTAAATTAAAATTAGTTCCATCTATTTCTGACCCAACGATAATGTAAATTATCTAAATTCCTGATTATACCAAGTAATAATTAAAAACATGTAATTACTCCATTGGTGGAACATTGAGAAAACTTGAGTATGTATTACTAAGGGGTAAATGGGGTAATTTATCAATATACATATTATATATATTATATACAATGCATTATAAAGTTGTCATAATGAAATAATGAATGAGGGATTAAAGGTGTTCTGTCGATCCATGCATGCATTGAAAGCATTTTGTGACTCATTTCTGGCAGGCAATATACTATAATATCGTATGATCTGTAAAATGAAACCTTCTGATTGGTCAGTTCTTGTGCTTTACTAATCTGTATTGCTATTGAGATTGTCCCCATTGATCATCTCCGTCGCAATACAGAAAATATTGGTACGGAGGGGACATTCTCAGTAGCAATACAGAGGATCAGACGATAAAAACATTAGAGAATGATTTGAAGTGCTATACAGGATATATTCTGCTCTCGATATTCTGTATTGGCACTCGACTTTGTCTTGTTCCAATACAGAATTTCTCGAGCAGAATATATCCTGTATTGCACTTCAAATCATTCAATAACTTATAGTACTAAAGTATAGCCAGGAACTTTAACATTGAAGTGTTCTCTGGTAAAACTCATGCTGATACAAAGACTCTTTTCATTATTGATAAATACTTAAACACTGTAAGTAACATACTCAAATGGTATCCTATACTTCAAGGAGAGGTCATTTAAGAATATGTTCAATATAAAACTATTCTGTCTATGTTCAAAAATCCAAATGGCAAAATACATGTTTAGAAGTTTGTGTGCCAATAAATCATATTTTGATACCACTATAAGCACATACAGTGCTTCTATGTATCCATGATTGCATTAAACCAAGCAAAATGTGAACATTTATTGGAACAAAGATCAGACTTCAATAAATGGCCTGTATCATCCTCAACATGCATCTTTTACACTTTTGAGATCTATACTTTCGATCTGAGTTCTCTTAGTTCCCTCTGTTTTGCATGCTATTAATTTTTGCACAATTCACATTTTTTATATTCACAAAAAGTAATTGTTGCAGAACTTGGGGATCATATTTAATTAGTGAATTTCAGATTTATTCTTTCAAATGTTTAATCTTTCTTTATTAGGGAGATAAGTCTCAAAACAAGATAATTCAGGAAAATATCTCATCTACACAATCACCAACTTCGGTGTTGTGTACATTTATGTGGTGAAAATTATGAAATACAGAAAATAACGGAACAATAGCAGAGAACATTTTTTGTGACAATTTACAAATAACACAAAATGTGAAATATAATGGCATCAAAAATAATCAGGAGTACATTATTAATGAAATAGTAAAAGCGTGATCAGCATGACACTCTACATATTGTTTGTCATGTCGAGCTCTGAAGCATGCATTTAGGCATTTCACATGCCATGCCAAGTACGCTGATCCTACCATACTTTATACTTTTCTGTAAATTCTGTAGGCTAAATATAGTTATATCTTAATAAATATAATTATATCACAAAAAACAAAGTAGGCCTAATTAGCAAAATGTCATGTTCAATCCAAAATATCAATTTAGGATGCAACTTTCAATTCTATTCAATCAAGATTATATGAAATATAATTCAAAAAATTACATATGACAGATTAAACATACCTTTGGCATCTTTCTGAGATTAGGTGACAGCTTTAAACTTGTGACATATCCCCTAAAAAAGGAGTGCATATTATTTGAATGATTACTTATAGCAGTTTGATATAGATAAATATAATGATTGATGAAAGAATTAAATCGTAACTTGCAGACTTGACATCAAAGATTCTACAAAATTACCCAATGCCAATTTACTTTGAGGCAGAATCGGCATTTTATATAATGTACTACATCTGTATACTAAACAGTATACTTTATCCTAAAATATTGTTATGCAGTATTACCCTTTTCATGTTTTACTTTTTGGCATGAGAATATTAACTTTTTCACTCCATGGATATTTCCTTCCAATTCAATGCATATTGTAGGAAGCAGCACTAAATCTGTTGCTTAAACTGCTTTCAAATGGAATGAAATTGAAACTTACCTATCATCTCCAACTATGAGTATGGGATGTATGGGGTTAAATGACACGTGGGTTAGTTTGGTTTTCTTTTTCTGTACAACAGTTTGCTCACAAATGGCCTCGTATTTGTTTATGCTCAGATCATAGACATGCACCTACAAGAAAGTAACTTAAAATTAAAAAAAGTAAAAATTCACACATTGAGAAGTGTATTCTCTACTAGATTACAATATGCTGAAGACATCACTTATGGTTATATAGTGTATGTCACATACTACACCCATAAATGTGAAGTTATTTTGTCTTTTTGATTATTTTGACATTTTTCTCAAAAACGGAGATCGGGCTTGCATTTATGGAGGAAGTCAAAAACATGGAATGTCTGTATGCATCTGAATTCTATACTTCTTACTTAGATCATTTATAAGTCTGATGTAACACCAAAGCATATGACTTTATATCATGCATCTTACCTTTCCATCTGCAGTTACAGCTGCAAATATTGTTGATGCATAAGGTGCCCAGGCTACGTCTCCTACCGAGCTATTCAGGTCAAAGGTAAACATTGGGTCTCTGAAATAGAAAAAATGACCCACATTATTCCAAGTTATCATATTTTAAACTTGAGAATTTCTATTATTTTCAAACATGATGTAAAAGGAGAAGGGATAAAACAACAAGCTGAGAGAAATTTTCGTAAAATAAGAATTTCATAATGTTGCGCTCACTGAGTCAAGTACACCGCCTAAAGTATGTGACTTAGACAAGTATCCCATTTTCCATAATGAAGACATTTTTGCATCGTAAATCTTAGTGAATTCTTTAATTTGATAATACAGGGTGATCAATAAATAAGGTAAAAGTATCTGGCATTTTTTCAGAGTTTACCCAATCCTCATAATATTTGCACATAATAATGTTCAAACATTATTGAATTGATATAGCAAGTTACAGATCAAAGTGATGTGATTGGTTGATGTTATGGTTGCCATAGCAACAGAAAGCATGAAGACCCGGGGAAACTATAAAAACTAATTTTTCAATCAAAGCACTTTTGAAACTATTTTTCAAATCACAATTGAAATGGCATATCGTATTCTTATTTTATACTTGATAACTACTCTACTTAATGTCCTTTGTTTTATACATAAAGTTCATGTCTTCTACTCCAGTCTTTGAACAACTTTTTAAACCCATTTTCCCGTAGCCTGCAAATTTTCAAGACAGCTGACTTCAAGTCTTCCCATGAGAAACTCCCTCCACTCCCTCTTCAGCTCACCATGAAGGTAAAATCATAAGGGGACAAGTCAGGAGAGTATAGTACATGACCTAACAGTGGGAAACCCAGTGCTTCAATGGTTTGCACCATGAGAATAGCATTGTGGGACGGAGCATTATCCTAGTGCAATGTGAATGTTTTGGGGGCCTCTTAGCTTCTTCCTCTTTGCTCTCTTCAAATCTCTTCTGTGGGTATTGTTTTTCAGCATTGACCTGTGTCATAGACTTTCTATGATCACATCAGTTTTCATTATATATTTATCTTTTCCGTGACATCAAACCTCAAATTTGCAAAAAATATGTAGCAACAGGAAACAAAGTATTGAAACAATAAATGCTGGCACCATCGTTTATTTCTTTTCAGTTTGAAAATGATGTGCTTTTCATCATTTTTTGTTCAAATTGGACACAATGAAATTGCCCTGGGTACCCTCGACTCCAGTTGCCATGGTAAATATAATATTAACCAATCAGAGGGCAGAAGTTATATATTTATATGTTTCAATTTAGAAATGTACAAAGTATATTCTGACCAAATTTCAGGATATTTGGACCAATATTTACAGAATGCCAGATACTTTTACCTTATTTATTGATCACCCTGTATATCTCAATTCAGGAACAGGAATAATTTTTTGAAAAGATTGCATGCAACATTTACACTCCCTATCCCTTCTTCTTCCTTTGACATAAATATAATTTAAGTTATATTCAGAATAGTTAGCCATCAAAAGGAAAAAACATATTGTTTTTTCACATCGTGTTAAACCTCTCTTAGTGAACACCTCTCTCTAGTGAACACTTGTCTGTAATGGACACCCTTGATCGGCTCTTATTCTGTATAAATGACCCTCTCTGTAGTGAACACCTACCAACAATGAACATTTTTTTTCTTGGAAAAAATGCTTAATATGCACAGGTTTTACAGTTATAGTTAAGAAATTACAGAAAGTTATTGTGTCCGAAGAAACGATAATTCAGTCTTAAGAAAAAGTAAACTTACTTAGTTTGTTTGTGGTCCCATATTTTTACGGACCAATCCGCACTGCATGTGATGAAGATATTAGGATGGAAGTGGTTCCATACAACTTTATAAACTGCCATATGATGAGCTTGTATCGTATCAAGGAACTGACTGGAATATGCTTTCGAACATTTATGGATTTTTCCTTCCTCCGTCCCCACCAGGAATAAATAGTCTGTCTGTCTGTGGAAGTCAAATGATGTTCCACAACCTGAAGAAATCAGAATAGATTTGAATTTACTTATTCTACAGCAATATTGTTCAGCTGTGTTGAACGGATTTCATAGGTTTGAATGAGATTATTTTTGAGATGAGCCCAAAATATCACAATGTATACATGCAGCGTCAGCATGGCTCATTGAAATCTTTATGATCTTTAATTATCAAACCATAATATAATACTTTCTATAGGGTAGGATATATGACTCGAACTATAGTAGCAATACCTGCCTGACAATGGAGGGTTATGCTTCAAGAATGTATATGTGTGCACTACTTATATTGCAATACATGCAGAGACTTACCTAGGGTAAATAGTTTAGTGCCATCTGGGCCATCAGATGGGGATTCTGGGAGTGCAAGCTTTATGACATCATTATAATGTAACTCATTCTGAAATGGAAATATATACATGTATACTGAACATCAGTTCATGTTTATATTTAGAGTACAGGGTATCAAGGAAAAAGATACAATGTTTACCTTAAGACATTTTATCCAATGATTCAATAACTATGAAATTCATACAGCTCGAAGGACTAACATAAAAGTTATTTTATTTTGAGTTGAACTATCTCTTAAATGACAAGTAGTTCTAATACACAATTGCTTACTTTGACCAAAGTCCAAGACACAACACGGCCATCTGACGACACAGAGAAGAAATTCAGGTTATTGTCTAAGTCATCCTTTTGCCAGCGAACCTGGAATTAAAATTACAAATAATATGAAAATCAGGGTGACAACAAAATAAGCAAATGGCACAGAAAAAGTTTCTGAAATAACTTGATTGCTTTTCTATGCCTACAGCTCTAAGGGTAAAGAGGCTATTAGGAATAACTACGCTCTGACAATTCAAATGAGTATACAGTTTAAATGCCAAAGGTACATGTCATGGATTTTCATTGGAGTTTGACTACATGTATATGAAATAAATTACAGCTACTTATGCAGGTGTAAAATTCTGTGGCTCCAATTCTGATTTGGTGACTGAATTCGGATTGATATATTTGATTGGATAAGGCTAGATGAAAGGATCATCTCTCTTTCAAAGAGTCTAGTCGAAGCTTTCTTTAAAAAAAGTGAAACCAAACAATTGAAAAGGGTTTAAACCTACAAACCTGCCAAACAGGATCTGTGTGTTTGCCATTCTTGGCTGTGCTTAGGTACATTGGGGTCGTTCTACTCTCTGTGACATTATACACACCGACGCTCCCATCATAGAAGCCTACAGCTAGGAGGTACGGGTGCTCTGGGTGAATATCCAGCGACATAACACCACTCTCAGTTGAGTAGATTTTCTCTGGGTAGGATGGATTTTTTAATGAGTAAAACAGGATCATACCTCTTGTTTGCTTCATGAAGTCATCTGGAAAAATATAAATGGAATTTATATGTAGATCATGTAGATGAAGAAAAGTACACTAAATTGACATAATTGTCAGATTCTAAATTGTAATAGTAAGAATGAGAGTACTTCAATGCTTGGTCCAAAAATAGAGACATATTACAGTATCATAACAAAAAAAGAATGTATATGTCTCTTATCTCTTGTTCTACTTCCATAAATTCTTACAAACATGACAAAAAGCACCTCGTTTATCACTGGTGCATTGCAATAAACTTCCACTAAATATATAACGCACTTATTATAGGTGCACTTACATGACCCATGACCCACAGCAAAGAAGTCCTTGTACTTTGGATTCCAACAAAGCGACGTAACTGCCAACTTTTTTGCACGATCAAATGAAAACTTCCAGAGAGGCAGCAATGTTCCCTCTTGGTCCCTGAAGTCATCGGAGACATCCTCCCAATACTTGAAATCTGAAACACACAAATCCCTGGATTTAATTGTCATTTACTTGGCAGTGGCACTGCACTAATGGTACAAGTATATGTATGCAGTCATGTTGATAGCATTTTGGAACTCAATCATATAAAAGTTCTACAGTATATTCAGTCATGATAGCATTTGCTTTTAGACATGAACTTGTGACAGTAGTAACTAGTGACTAAAAGAATTTAGAGATTTAAAACTCCTAGTGCATACCCAAACTACCAATGATTAAGTCATGGGCATTCAATAGATGATATTGAAAGCCCATGATTAAGTGTCCTATTTTCTGATGATGACATAATTTTCATTTTGTAAATTTCTCTTCAATGTCTTGGAACAATATTCCTTTCAACCGAAATGAGGATATTGCATACAATGATCCATAACTTCACTGCACATGTCCGATTGCTACATGTAACATAATACTGGTTGCCTACCCTGTGAAACATCATCATATGAGTTCTGGTTGACCATTCTTTCAATGATCTTAGATGCTCTGGACACCCTTGATATATCATCTCCCTGAGCATCCATGACGGTCAGCTTCTTCCTGGCCTTCTCCTCTTGCTGTCTCCCTGGCACTACCTTCTTCTCCTTGTTCTTCTCCTACAGTACAGAAGCACAATCATTGTTAGCACAATCAATGTCAGCACAATCACTGCACAATCAATTTCATAAATTTAGTGTATAATCAATGTCAGCACAATCTCCCTAGCACAATCAATGTCAGCAAAAAAACTTCCAGCATAGTCACTATTAGCACAATCACACACAGCACAATTTCTCAGCACAATCAGTCTGAGTAAATTCCATTAACACAATTCCTGTCAGCACAATCAGCACAGTAGATTAGGATTAGGAAACTTTTTTTCAAAATGATCGAATCTTTATTCAACGCAAAGTTTCTCAACTATGGTATATCGATATTGCTTTCCTGTTTCTCCCCTGATACAAGCAAACACATGCAAAGAACATACTGTACTGTAAAAAGTTATCCTCTAGTACAATTTCATAAACATTTGTACAACAGAGTGTCAAAGTGAACTCAACAATATCCAGCTTGATCACTTTGTACCCTATTTTCATTCTAAATATATCATTCACATCATTATTCTTTCATGCATTTATGTTTAAAATCAGAAAATAAATCACAAAACAATAAATACCAATTCTAGATATTCAAGCACTTGTTACTTTGTCTTGACAAACTACATTTGCAAATACATGTATACATTTTGGTGAAAGCGTATTTGTGATGACTGTGGGTGCATAGCTATATATTGTTACTTGTGACACAATACAATGTTAAATACAGAAACAATTGCTGTAATCACTGAAAGAATCACTTCAATTTAATTACCCCTGACACTATTCATTCAACATGTTGCTCTTTATTCTATCTACATTTCTTTTAATTAGTGCCACATTTTTGCAGTCTACAATACATACACAGAGTAACCCCAACCTCCTTATGTGGATCATTACACAATTGTAAAAAGATGGAAATGATAAGGTTACTCTAATACAGAGGGTCAAGGCTATAGCTAACTGGGTCAAGGTCATGCCCTCATGCTCATAGTATACCCATGGGTTAAGGTCATTCTGCCACAAGTCATCTACATTCTACAGGATAGGATTTAAAGGCCAAAAATGTTAACACATGTATTTACAGCATTATTATAATACCTTATAATAAGGAAGGTAAGATTTACAAGCTAATGTTATACAGTAAAACCTGTTCATGTGAACATCCCAAAATAAACACTTTGTGAAGTCATCAATATACAATGGATAGTTCTAAGGTATCTTAGTCTACAAATAGCATGACATACATGTAGCTATATAAATAGCTCTTAGTCTACATACGAGATAAGGTATGTAGCTGTAAGGTATCTTATTCTACATATAGCATGTGTAGCTCAGGCCCGTAGACAGGGGTGTTCGGGTGACCCCCCCCCACGGCCAAAATATTTTCAAAATCATGCAGTTTTTCACCATTTTGAGCACTTCTCAAGTGACTTCAGCCATGTTTGGGCCAAAATTGTCAAATGTGAACCCTCTGGAAATTTTTGAACCCCCCTTGGCAAATCATGGCTATAGGCCAGTAGCTGTAAGGTATTTTATTCTACATATAGCATGTGTAGCTGGACGGTATCTTATTCTACATATAGCATGTGTAGTTGTAAGGTATCTTATTCTACATATAGCATGTGTAGCTGTAAGGTATCTTATTCTACATATAGCATGTGTAGCTGTAAGGTATCTTATTCTACATATAGCATGTGCAGCTGTAAGGTATCTTATTCTACATAAAGCATGTGTAGTTGTAAGGTATCTTATTCTACATAAAGCATGTGAAGTTGTAAGGTATCTTATTCTACATATAGCATGTGTAGTTGTAAGGTATCTTATTCTACATAAAGCATGTGTAGTTGTAAGGTATCTTATTCTACATATAACATGTGTAGCTGTAAGGTATCTTGGCTGACAAATAATGTGTGTAGCTTGAAGGTATCTCAATCTACATAAAGCATGTGTAACCATAAGGTAACTTAAGTCTACATGCAGCATATGTAACTGTACATAGAAATGTACAAAAAGAGTAGTTACATATTAAAGGGGTGGGGGTGTTAATATATATTAGTAGATGAACATACATTGATCTCATCCAGCCAACTATAGGTGCTACTGACATCTCTGAAGAAACCTGGCTATAGAAGAATTAGCTTGCTAAATGTATTAATGAATTTATACAACATCCATCTTTTCTGTAAATATTTTCATGAGACATCACTTTCATGATGCTATTACTGCCCTGCCTCTTGGTGAAGATGTCCAAACATGAATGAAGAGATTGAAATCTCGGAGAGATATGTGTAAATCCATTAAATAGCAAGACAAACAACAGAAGTGAGAAATCATCAGGCCCGTAGCCAGGGGGGGGGGGTTCGGAGGGTTCGAGCGAACCCCCCTGACCAAAAATTCTTTCAAAATCATGCAGTTTTTCACCATTTTGAGCACTTCTCAAGTGATTTTAGCCATATTTGGGCAAAAATTGTCAAATGTGAACCCCCCTGGAAATTTTTGAAAAATGAACCCCCCCTTGGCAAATCCTGGCTACGGGCCTGATCATCTAATGCTACAGAGAAACTATGGTAAGAATGAGAATTGCTAAAAATATAAAACTAATAGAACACTTAGTATTTGTAATGTTAGATCTAAAACTAGTCTATGCATGTGTTACTGTTAGTGTGAGCTACAAGATATATTTTCTTATAAAGTAATACTAAAGTGAAAACATAACAGAAATAGACACAATAAAGTATATATTAAAAACAAACTAATGCATGTGTACAGAAAGCATTTGTGAATGGAGATAAGAAAGATATTATACATTTATTAGTTCCTAGTATCTATTCTAATTTCCTTAGAAATTATGTAAACAGAGATGAACAACTTCTCATACTCATTATTAAAAGGATGTCAAAATTTTAAATATTTGCCTGGAATCATTTCAACAACACTAACATTATTATTACTACCCTTTGTGTTCTGTTTTGTAACGTTAGTGCATTTAAAATGTGTCATTTTGTTTGTACATTTTAACTTCCAAGCAAAATACTGCCCAGTTTTTTGTACAATTTCAGATGCATAACCACTTTGAAATAGGTTCATTGCTATAATATAAAGATATGGTACCTGCTTGTCTTGGTCTTCTTGGTAAGCGTCAAATATCTCCCATTGGGTGACATTGGCGCAGAATGTGGCCCTGGGTGGGGGTTCTGTCACAGTGCCGCGCTCCTGGAGAAATCAATAGAGCAAAATGATTATCTGAACATGTAAACTGTAATATATTCCATATCTAAGGGTTTCATTTTATTACAAGACATTTTTAAATGCAAATCCATGCATTTTCAATAGATGAAGACTGAGAGACTGATTTTTAGAGGTATCAAAGGTGTTCCACTAAGACAGGTTTAATTGTAGTATTGCTTCCTTTTAAATTAAACATATGTAGAAGATGATCTTACCCTGAATGGATTGTTATAAGTCTGTGATGCTCTCTCGCTGTAGTTAAACTGATTGGTCAATTTCTTTGCGCCCTCAGGTGGTGCTGGAGTAGTAGCGCCATCTTCACCTGTACCCTCTTCTTTGGTCTGAAGAAATTATATGGACATTGAATTAAACTATAAACAGTGAGAGACAAAGCTAAGCTCTTAATTTACATGATCTAAATAATCACTAAAGCAAAGTATTTCAATATACAATGTAATATATCATGAGAAACTTTTATTTTCACACAGAGACTTATCTTCACCGATTGGCCTACCTCAGAGTCTGGTAAAACTAGGAGCTCCTTTACACGCAGCAATAAAATATATTTCAAATTTAGAATTTATGTTAAACATATCTTCCTACCAATGTACTATCAAGTCTTTTTAATATGAAAACTTTTTACGGCTTTATCCTATTACCTCTTTAAAAACACATTGATATTTTGACTTGCTCTTTATGAATATATCATGAACGTGTTCAAAGCTTCTGTATGCTAACTTGTAGATGTATTTAAGAAACACGAAAACATATACCTCTTCAGCTGGTTTTTCACCATCCGCCGCATCTGCAGTCTCAGCTTTCTCCTCTGTTGCACCCTCAGTTGCAGCTGCATGATCACTGGGAGCTGAAACCAACAGAACATATATAAGGTTGGGATGCTATGATACATTCAAAAGACATTTTATGTTGAAGATAAAATCAAAATGGTTTTCCTAAACTTTTTTACATGCAGTGTACAAAAATTTCTGATCAAAATACCAAATAAGGTGTATACATGTGTCCTAATTTTTATTTACAGGCATATCTTGTTTTGGAATTAATAGATGAAATAAAAAAGTGTGTTAGTTTTTAACACTCTAATATGCGAGTATTTTTAAATAATGTGATATGTTATATTATATTGTACATACCTCCATATCTATGTGTTTCTGCTAGATGATGGCAAACAAGACAAAACAGAAACAACAAATCAATAGTGTATAGTATATAGCACAAAAACAAAACAAAATAAAACAACGAACTAAGCAGTGAGGTACTGTATGTCAGCTGTGTGGCAAGGATAAGTAAAGATACTTCATGGAACTTTTTCAGTAACAATGTACATCCAAACCAGGCATTGGGAAATTGTGGATATTGCCTATTAACTTAGACATGTAGTGCCATTTGGCTCACTTACAGTGCCACTTAGCTCAACAGGACAGTAGTGCCATGTGGCTCATCTGTAGTGCCACTTCACATTGTAAAAGTGAAAGATTCTTTTACTCAATCGTGAAAAATACTCTCCAAAAATGTTAAATCAAGGCAGTAACATGACAAACTGTCAAGTGACATAAAACCAAATTATGACATATCTATGTAAAAAAGTGATGTAATATATAAAGTGTTATGTGCAAAATAAAGCTTCAAATAATAATTCAAACAACCAACTTTTGCAAAAGTGTTTTTTAATGTTATCCAAGCATTAAATATGAAAATTTCAAAAATACCTCAGTTTGGTCATGTTTAATTCTAAAAGAATGTGGATTGCAGCTTCGGGATATTTAGACATTGACCTCAAAAAATATCAAAAGACTCTCATCAAAAGCCCTCGGTCAATTTCTTATTTTCCTCAGACAATCAATATCATTTTCCCTCAGAATTCATCATTTTCCCTCAGAATAAAATCCATATTCATTCTCTATTAAATAAGCTTTGTATGATTGTAGTCTTGTATATACCCATTATTCTGTGCTAGCATTTTGGTTGAATAACAACATTCATTTTGATTTTTCCCCAACCCTCACCTCTCAAAATGAAACCTTCACTGCTGATTTACCGATAAGCCCCAGGAATACAAAAAATAATCTCATCACAAAATCAAATTGATGAGAAATAGAATTCGATGATTTGACCCAATTCCTCATAAATTACTCTTTATTTCTCTAAAAACATAAACATGACCAAAATGAAGAAGTAAAACCTCTAAATATAAATATGTGTTGTTTTTTATTATTACCTTCTGCCAGGCCTTCCCTTTGCATTTGACGCTTGGCTTCATCTGAGTCCCTATGCAACATATTGCCATCCAAGAGAAAATGGATAGCAAGTTGGTCAACATGGGCTGTTTGTTTGTATGCATTCTCCTACAAAAAGAGAAGGATGTGTCCATTTCAAAATCTATTAATCTGTTTTATGATTGGTTCAAATCAAGTTTGGTTGTAAGGAAGGTCGGTTGAATTATGTTTGGATAGTACGCTCTTGGATATAATTTTATATAGATTTATTTAAGAATCACCATTTATTAATTTGAGTACATGTAAGCGGACTAGTACAACTATAATATGCAACTTACTATAAATACAATTTTAATTTAAACTATAATATAGGACATTATTTGATATTGAATGATACTAGTATGCTTTTACGTTAAAACTATGTATAGCTCACAACATTAAGGTGCTCATGTGGATTGTTCAAACTTACCTTAAAATTGTAGCGCACGATATTAGATGGTGCATGTGGATTGTTTGCAGTCAAAATTCTTGTAAATTCTTCTTTCAGTTCCTACAAAATGGAATGGTGTTTGTTTGAACTGGCAGGTGCATGCAGTAGTGCTTAAGTGAGCAAGAAACAAGTCAAAAAGAGTATCAACTTAACATGAAATCTAAATCTTACTGAACTGACCTCTCAATGTTGACTCCAAATGTTAAATCACTAACATATACAGAGAATGTTCCCTTTTACAATTCAAGCTAAAAAAGTGTTTCTGGTCACAAAATTTGTTTCCATGGTAACATATTTTGCCCATCTACAGACGTAGAATCCTAAAATGTCATGTGAGGTCTGGCTATTTAAATTATCAAATTATGAACTAGAATATGTGTGATTCTCATTTAAACTTACAGTTTCATTTAGGTCCAACTGGTCATCTGGTTTAACAAGGGTTTTCTGTTGCATCCACTCATCTCCACCTTCCCCCATTTCTGTGACATCATCATCATCCTAACCAATCAAAAGTTGAAATTCAATTACATAAATATTGATCATTAGTAGATGTACATTCAAAATGATTGCAATAAAAAGATAAAGTTTCACATATAACTTAAACATATTTTTCTGCATGTCATTAAGATCTATAGGTCATTTCATATTTCAAAAACATTTGGTTTGCACGTTTACATACATTGAACTGTGCATAGCCATAGATTACATTTATTTAAATATGATCCAACGCCATCCACTACCACTATTTCCTAATGCATTCTACCATCCTACCACTATTTTGAAATGCATTCTAGACTATCTGAGAGCTTCAGGTTCAAATGACTATATGCAGTTCCCCTTTACCTTTTAAGCTTTTATTGAAAAAAAAATCAAAGTTCATAACCGCAATTCACTATACAGATGTCCCTGTGCTGCTAGATTGAGAAAATCTCTCGTAAATGTTCAATCATGTACATGTACATGCAGTAATTATAAAGAGGAGAAGTAGGAAAGGAGTGGTTGTACTACCATAATTCCATACAAGGTAAAAGCAGTTTTGCACTGTAAAACTACAACAGGGTCAATTACAAATTACAATAAATGAATGCAAGCATGATCATAGAGGTAACCACTCTAGAGACTAGAGAGTCATCCCACACACCACTTATATGTTTGCCATTAATAAAGTGTCTTGCATGGTCTCCAAATGATACTAAAATACTCTAAAATTTGTAAAAGTCAGAACAACCTAGATTACTTTTTATATAGACAAGCATTTTTTCAATCTTTAATATTTACAGAAAAGAAACTTTGTATTAAAGTCTGTTGGATTGCAGGCTGTTCTGATTTTTATCAATTCGGGAGTATTTTAAGATCAGAGCCATCTACTGAACTAGGTTTGAACTAAGTCCAAGGGTAAAAATTATGTTTTGTGTCCCATAAACATGCAATTTTTCTGTAATGAATCATTTAACTTAAACCTTCAGAATGAATGTTGGATTATTTTGCTACTACATAAGTCATCCACATATGTATGGGGTATGTTGGAAGTACTGTATGTATACAGGTATACCAGGGTACTTGTTCTTAAAATATTACAATGGGGTCTGACATGTAATCAGAAGGTCGTGGAATGACCTTTTCACATCAGATTTTTTGCATAGGATTTGATTCCTATGTTCAGATAACAATTAGTCATCTCCAGAGGTTCACTGAATTACTTTTGTCCCTATCAAGTTTCTTCATCCAGTATGACAGACATGTTATATTTTATGAACAAGTTTGAAAGGCAAATGAGGTTGTACTCTCTCTACTAGAATAGTATGAAAATCAGAGAGTATGATATCATGAAAAATAAATTGGTTACCGCAGTCTGGCTAAATAAATTGAATGCACATCTATTTTGTGTATTCAAAAACTATAATTCTGTTGCAGACGTAAGGGCCAATTATTTTTCATAATTCTGGTCTTTTCAATTTCATCCCAAAGCAAGGGGTTATATGCTTCCTATAGTATGGAGTTGTGTTATTGCATAAAAGAGGCAGATTTTACTAATTGCAAGTCTTTATACCTTTCCAAAGTGAGGTCTCAAGACCGTACTTGTACGAGATGGCCTTTGCTAAATGAAAAAACAAAAAAGAAAATAATAAATATAAATTAAATAGATGTTAAAGAAAATCATTGTTTTTCTTACCTTTATTGGTCGCATAGACTTTGCTTTTCCCGCAGCAGCAGTGGCCTTCAATAAACAAGATGTACATTTAACTTTGTTTAGTGTTGCTTTCATGTTTTCCCATCTATATGAATATCCAGGTAAATCAGAAGTTGACATGAATTATTTAGAATTATGTTTAATGTTAACAAATATGTTTGTCAATCATAGTAAAACCATGCATCAATTCTTTCACTCAAGAAATCATTTGTCTCTTCTACTCCCAGGGCCTGGGCAAACACCTGACTATAATCCTCCAGTCTGAAATTTTTTTGAAATTTGGAATGAAAGTATTCAGATTCGTCACTCGACTTTTTGGTGATTTTGAAGTCATGTCTGCACTTCACAGTTCAAAATCAACTTCTTTGGAAATTTGACACCACCTTCTTATTTGCCTCATTGACCTTTTATCGTTTCTCAAACATATTCTCTCAAGGCATCTAGCCTAGAGTCGAGGATATATTCGTCTAGGGGAAAACACTACATATTTTGCAGCGCTTATAATATTGGCATTTTGAAAGTTCAGAGTAGAGCGCAAGTCTAGAGGAAGAGATATAGACCCTACAACTTACGATTCACAGCAGATACTGAGACTAGCCTAGACCCTAGACAGTCTAGCAAAACTAAAAAAAATTCAAAGGATCAGGCTAAACACTTAGGTCAAAATTACATATAATATTGATATTTTCTGTATCATATCTTATAACAAACCTTCAGCCCTTTTCCACCTTTGGGTGGCATGGTTGTGTCTTATTTTAGGAAACGCGTTAACAACATAAACATCAATTTTGCTAAATATTCTGACTTTTGAATTATTTGCAGCAAGTATGGCGGCCTGTTGCTAGGAGTGATGCGCATGCGCGCAAAAGAATTATTTCCCAGCATGCATCAAATTTCCAATATGTCTGCCGTTGAAAAAACCTAAATTTTGAAGGATTTATATCATATTTTACCTTTATCCATGGAGAATATCGACGATAGTGGAATCGATAGTGATGCTAGGTCTACTATGAATGGAAATGAGACAGAAAGTGGAAAGGTGAGTCAGTCTTAAAGCTTCAGCGACAGTTAAATGTTTCAAATTTCTAAAATGACAATTTTTTTCACTTCCGGGTTTCTTAGATCTTAGGCCTACAGTGGAGACGATAACCCCATTTAACGTGTAACATGGATTGCCATTTTGCACGGCAATTGACGTGAATCACGCAAATAAGCACGCCTTCAATTGTCTAGATATCGTCTTTCCAACGGGTTTTACGTAGTATGTATCCAACAGACCGAATATAATATTCGGTCTGTTATGATTGATATATTTCCTGTGGAAATCGCAGTGATATTTTTTGCACATTAATTTCTCGTTTATTATAAGAATGTTCACCTTGAAAATTGGTGAATATGTTGAAGAGATGTTCATCTTAAACTAGAAGCAAAAATATTTGTATAAGGCGGGTACAAGTTGATATAAAATAATGAAATGTTCAGACTCACCGAAACTTCAGGATGTGTTCATAAGTAGATCGCGAAATCAATGTCAAGGACGTTTGAGTTCACGAGATCCAAACGAGATATGCAAATTTTGAACTTTGACAACACATGACCACTTGATTACCTCGGCCTTCTTCATGAATATTTCCGATCTATTTACTATAAATGAAGAGAATTAATCGGGATAATGATAATAAATGACTAGATCTAATAAATTCCCGCACAAATGGAATTTAGCAATACGCTTCCGTAATGTTGCTCCGTCCGCTCCACGTGTTATTTGTTTACAAATAGACTGACGTCACTGGCTAAATCTCGTTTATCGTGAGAATTGGCATTGCCAAAATGGCTTGACCTAATCAATGGCTTCGCTACAAGAAGCGTCTGTACATTTTATGAATATCTTCAGTAAGAGGACAATATACGAAAAAATAATATTGTAAGTTCTTTATAAGGTAATCATTTTATCATTAAACAAACTTATTTGTAACATTTATACAACACCACATTTTACAATAGGTGACTTACAGTCTGAATATTTATTCAGACGAAGGATACAGTCTAGGGTTTTACGACAAAATCGGTACTGACCCAATGGCATGGGCGTAGCGCTATTTTTCCAAGTAGTCTAGTGCGACACCACCACAGGAACAAGAGTCAAGAATAAAAAAACAAGCATTTAGGGGGGTCTTGGGGTTCTTCCCCTGGAAAATTTTGAAATTTGGTTGTATTTGGAGCAAATTTGCAACCATCTGGTACGCCTGTGCGTACCCAACGTACCGGGCGCTTATCGCATCCTACGACCCCTTTAGATTGTGGTCGTACGCCTGTATCATTTGTAAGCAATGTCGGAGAATGAACTACGCATTGCACTATTAAATGACCTACCTCGCTACATTCCAGAGTATTTTATGTTGTTAGATCGCCAATTGTATGGGTTTATCGGCAGAACGAAGAGATTTTAGTTTTTACATCGGAAATATGTCGGAAGGGGAATTCCCCAGGGATTTCCCTTATGACTGGTGCATGCCAGGAACTGAATGGAGGAATTTGACGGTTGAAATAAGTTAAATATTACACGCAAATATTGCTATCAAAAACGAAAATATCTTCGTTCTGCCGATAAACCCATACAATTGGCGATCTAACAACATAAAAAGAATTCTAAAATACTCTGGAATGTTCCGGTTTGCGGTTATAAATATTTCTTGTAAACATTGACGTCATAATAGTTGTTATTTCAAAATGCAACCCGGACAATAGCAAATGTTTATGATTATAACTATTACATACGATGCAGATCATGATTTACCCACTAGTTTCCAAATTTATAACTGCCTGTTGTCCTGCCGATAATATGTGAAACTTTTACAAGATAATAGTTTGCTCAAAATATTGCGCGTGCAATAAAAAAAATCATATTTTTCCTTGAACTGTTATGTTCTCATGTTTTAGCCGTGCCAGGAGAATCATGTAAATGAAACAAGTCAAAAATTTTTTTTTTTCAAACTTCTTTCCGACTTGTTGTTTAACCTATAGATAAAATGGGGGGCTGCTGTTACTATGGCCTAGCCTTCGAACTACTACGTTAAATAGCATTTACGGGTAAGAAGGTGGTTTTAATACTTTAAAAACAAAGCCATGCCAAATCCAATGGTGTGTATAGTAAGTTTAAGTGTATGTACAGTGACCATATGAGGTATGTGTGTAAAGCTGAGGGCAAGTACTTTCTAAATGTACCATTCTTAGAAAAGAATATAGTCCCATAAACTGGAGCTACTTTATTTGTTAATTTTCATCGGTGAAGCAGGGATTTTACTAAAAATGAGTCCCTAAATATAATGATATTTAAAAATCGAGACTCAAAACCTATGACATAGGCTATGTTAATGAAGTGTCAAGATGAAGCCGGTTATGTATAGGGGAATACATTTGTACCATTGGTTAGCTACATATTTCAGTGTCTGGGTCATGGTGCCAACTTTAATGTATCAATTACATGCATTTTCAGCAGTCTCTTATAAAAGTTCTTCTCAGGGTCAAAAAAGGTATTTTTCAACATGCATCAAATTGACCAGTTTTTTTTCAAAATCATCTACAAGTTCTCAGAAATTCAAATCTGTAAATCATAATATTGTGAGCAACTAGGTGGTGACATTTTGTCATGTTAATGCCCTGCTTCTTCATAGCTTGCTTGTTAATGCCTTGTTTCTTCATATCTTGCTTGACATGTACTTTCAGCAGCCACTTACAACAGTCAGTGACAATGAAGTGCGGGTGGAAATCAAGTCTGGTGCTAACACAACAATCTCTAGTACAACATCTGGTAACACAGCTGCAGTACGCAAACCTTCCGATTTACAAAAGAAACTTGGTGAGAACTAGTTTTTGCACATTTACATATTATGTCTGACCAATGATTTGTAGTTATGTGAGATTACAGTGTATTTTACATGACAGAGCCTCCCCCCTGCTTTTCTTTTGAAAGATACTTTGTCTAGCAGTCAGCTTGTGGTGGTTCATCATTTCAAAACGTGTCTGCCAGTGCCAAGGAAAAACTCTGATACAGCTAAGTGATCACTATTCTGTATTGGGACAATTCTACAGTAATATGCTCTTGCATATATAGTAAAGCCATTGAAATAAAAGATATATCCACTTTTTATTCCACTATCTATTCAAATTTTAAACAATGTGTTTTACAGAGAGACAAAGGGAAGCTGTTATTAAAAAGTTAGCTGTTGACCAGCAGCCCAAGAAGAAAAATATGCCACAAAGAAACAGGTAAATGGTATTAGTATAACTTCACGGTATCATTGATATACCCATAGGGTGCTAAATCACAATTTTAACTGTTAATACATCTCAATATTTCAGCCTTTTTACAGGGTAAACTAATGCTTTGGAAATCACTGAATAAATATTTAAGAAATTATTCAGAAAACTTACTGGTATTAAATTAGAAAATTCAAATGCATAAGCTTAGTGAGATTAGATTCACACCAAACTGTTAATCTAGACTAACTTTTGTAAGTTTGGTTGTAATTTTAGGCTGTAGTAAATCTATAAGAAAATCAAAACCAACAAAACATGACATTCCTAGGGTTGCCTGTCTTAAAGTGATACATTGATCATAAAACATCATTCAAAATCAATACTAGAATTTAGTGAATATAAATGTGAATGTTGATTTCAGTGCTATCTTAGGGTATGTAGATACCAGGGTTGGGATATTACATTTAACTTTATTAGCTGTAGAGGGAAAAGTACATGTATGGTTTAGATTTTTACTCCTAATACCCTTCACACCTTACTTTACAGGCATATGGGTTATATTTTATTGATGAGACATTTTTAAAAAAAAATTCAGAATAATTGCAATCTTGAGATTTTGGCCAGTTTTACTTTCTCAGTCATGGAATGATAAGAAAATACAATATATCTGTAATATTTTTGAATTAAGTAGCTATTCAGATTATATATTCTATTTTAGCTGCATATTGCAGCTACAATTGCATTGACTGTACAGCTGTTAAATATATTATATGTTGCATTAGACAATTTGTATATATTGCCTTATGCCTTTAGTATAGTTTTTTTTATTTATTTATGCTTTTTCCCATATCCTTAGTTCATATGTTGGCAAACAACCTTAATATTTAACTACTAATTCTTATTCATTTAACGTGTTTCCTAAAAAGCAATTTGTATTTCAGTTTTTTCAATTCTTTTTTCAGTTTTTCTTTATTTAAAAATGCCCTGAATAGGAATTTAAATAAACATAGCATTAAGATTGGATTTTTTTATGTAACCTAAGCTATTGGAAATATAGTGATAACCCCCTACCCCTGCTTGACCTCACCTAATATGCATTTTACTTACTAACCCCAGTCTACTCCCTTTACCATATTTATCATCTGTAGTAGTATTGCATAGTATAGCATGTTTAAGAGTGTATAAGCTCTGTAATTGTATAAGAATATATTAAGAATAAAGTATTGTAGTTTAAAATTGCATGTTTTTGTAAGAATGAAATGGTTTGCCATGTTCAGATGACCATCCAAGATATTTCTCAAACTAGTGGCACCAATAGTTGAATATGTATTGAATAGATTTGGTTGGGTGCCATCTTGTATGTTTTGCACAATGCTACATGTAATTCATTTTGTTTAGTGAGTGCTGTGCTTGATATTGTTGTGTTGTTATTACCAAATTGTGTGAAAATTGTTTTAGTATGGTCATTTTTAAACTCAAATCTACAATTAGATAACATGTGGAATTTAGTGTGGAATGTTTGAGATGACTGATGACCACTCACTTTTCTAGGTTTACCATGTCGATTAACAGTTCTTGAAGTTCTATACTCTGTCCCCTTAGAAATTTGCATTTTTTCAAAATTTTCGTATAAGATTTTCCTATTTAAAAACTAAAGATTTTGCGAGGATTTTGCATCAAACTTGTGAATTTTTGTGATTTAAAAAATTCGGATTTTGCAATGATTTTGTGTAAAAAATTGAAATTTGCAAAGAGATATTTTTTTTAAATTATGGCTCAATTGACCACTTTCTCTGATGGTCAATACTAACATTGTATAGCATGCAAAATAATATTCCACTGTCCTCATGCAGCATTTCCCAAGGGTACTCATTGATACTGGCAGATTTTTCCATCGCATCATGGGCCCTACCTTAAAAAAAGAATTGAGTGTGATTTAAATATTTTCACTTAAGATTATTGCAATTCAGCACTTTTAGTGGTATAGAATGTGGATCGCTTACAGATTGAAACAATAACAAATTCAACTTGGAATCGATGGATTCGCAAAATACCCCACTGAGTAACAATGGCATCTTTTGTAGAAATATTTTTATCTATATTCTTACGGATATACATGTACTTACCAATACTTAAATTTCTTGCTATTTACATTTTTGCGCGAGATTGGAAATTTTGCGAATGACCCCCTATTTTGTGAAATTGCTGAAACGCAAATTTCTAAAGGGACAGTATACTTTTATTGGTGCCACTTGTTTCTCACTAACCCATGACCTTTAATACAGAGGAAGAGTAATGCTACTAATGGCAATATGGCATGCATGCATGATTGACAGCTTACTAACTGCATGCTCAATCATATTGAGGCTACACCCATTTTTGTCCGGCTCAGTGGAGTGATCATATTTTGAGGCCAATTTGAAAAAAAGTGGGTATGGATCACATTTTGGCGCTACAGGAAGCATGTTATGATTTGCTTACATACTCACGTTTTCTGTAGTAAGTCATATCTATGACCATATTCCCAAATTAAATTACTTTTTGGCGAGCTGGCTAATCTCTTCCTCTGTCTTAACCTTGACCCCGTGTTCATATCTTTAGATTGATAGTGCCGAATAGTAAAGCCTCAATTGGCATCAGCACCCCGGATGAGAGACAGCTGCTTGTTGCCATAGATACAGATGAAAGGTAACTTCCTGGTTACTGTTACTGTGGTTACGGTTGTTTTTTGGTTTCTATGGAAATGGGGGATGGCATAGATTTTATACTTTTTGTTGTCTCTTATGTAGTCTCCTTCAGAATTTAGAATGTTTCGAAGATTTTATCTTAATATTCTAGAATTTACTTTTAGTCTGCTGAATTACCTTATACATCATTCTTTACACATTGTAGATTTTTGATTTCTATATTGAAATAGAAGTTACATATATTTTTAACATCTCATAAAGTTTGTGATTTTACACTTTTTTAATAGCGTGGAAATATGGTGAAGGGAGTATTTCTTCTGTAGCAATTAAACATGTAGATAAGGTGGTTGGTTGTTTTTTCTATAATTTAATGTAACATGTTAATATAATATGAATGCTTATAACACCATCCCATCTTAGTCCATTTGACGTAGGAATGTCACATAAACTTAGTTCCATTTGTGGAAAGAATATTTTCCTCAGCCCAGCTCATTTTTGTTTGCCACAGTTGATTATTTTGTGTGTTTTGAAATGTTTTTACATTCTTTATTTATAAATCATTTAATGATTTACAAATAAACGTTAGATAAACATTCTTCAAATCAGATTGTCAATTTAAAATGCAAATATACAATATACTTAATGAATTTATTGTATTACTCTTATTCAGACTACTGTAGATTGGGTTAATTTGGCGCCCGCTTTAATTTGGCGAATTTGGCGAAATTGAAAAATTCGCCAATATAAATCTCCGCCAAAATTTAGAATGAATCCCCGGGAATCATCTAGGGTATTTCGTCCAGTGTATTTAGGTCACTTCCGGTTTATTTTTTCCAAAAATATGAAAAAATGTCTCTCATAAATTGGCTCAGAACTGGTCAGTCACTCATTTATACTCAGGGAAAAGTAGCAGCATCGATTGAGGTGTAAAATGTAAAGGATGATCTAACAAAAATGTACAAACGTGGTGAATATCGGCCAGTGGTCCTCAAAAGAAAAAATGAACATATAGCCAAACATGCCCATTTACATGGTAATTCGCAAACAGCGCGTAAGTCCATTAACATTTTTTTTGCATATCCGCCAAATTAAATAGCCGCCAATATGCCAAAAATGGCAAAATCGCCAAATTAAGTAGCGCCAAATTAACCCAATCTACAGTATTAAGGATGTTTACCCAAATATACTACATAAACATCAAGACTCAAGAGTAGTCTACAATCCTATATAGCAAGTTAATTATACAGCTAACCCTTCCTTGTTAGCCTACCAAAGTACTCTATTTGCCTTCCAGATTACCAAAGCTTTGATTTAATAAATAAACCAATATGCTTTATCTTTCACTTTCAGTGAGGATGAATTCGCAACAGCATTATCAAAGGCAACTCAGCGTGAAATCACCGAACAGTTGATCAAGGATGGATATAACCTTGACTTAGAATCAGACAATGAAGATCTAGATCTCATCCCACCTCGCCCAGTCAGTGATAGATGTGTGTGTTGTAACCCCCAGTTCCAGTCATGTACTATACAATAGCAGTGCCTTTTGAGTCACAATGGGGGAGGAGTGTACAGGGAGATTGTGTAATAAAGGGGGGGGTTGATCTTTCTGACCATGTGATCCATTTAGTACAATGGAAGCTATTGTCAGGAAGGTCATGTTCTGCTTGTTGGTAGCAGCTGGTGTGGAGAATTTACAAAAACCAACAGTCTTACATACAAATACAAATGAGTAAAGCACAGCAGCTTGAACAGTTAAGTGAAACCCACATGTTTTATGTACTGGTAGTATTATTATAGGTTGTTTGTACTTGTATGAGGGACTGTTTGCAACAAATTGTATGCATAGTACATACATATTAAACATGTTACATTACAATGGATGTTATATAAATACTTAAAGGTAGAATCTGCCATAGAATGATGGTGTGGAATGAACCAATTGACACATTTCACCATCTCAACATGATATCTGAAACAGTATAGGATTTAAATGGGAATGGTTTCAATAATGAGACTTATTTAATGTTGCTCTATGTTTGATTCTCCCTTTAATGACTGAGTAAAATGAAATTACAATGGGATAAATGCAGTAACAAAGCAATGTAAAGTAGAATTAACAGTCTTTTGTTATCAGCTGTTGTTTCACATCTGATAGGGAGACAAAATGATTGCAGATGTTCTACATGCAGCTGTTCCACTTTTCTATTCTACCAACTGCATTTTAATTTCAACATAATATCAAATATATCATTGTGACAACTTACATCATCAAATTATCACAAATACAAGAATTGAAGGCCAACAGCTGCATGTGGATCAGATGTTTTTCAAAGGTTAACATAGTGTGCTAATTAAACAGAAATTGCTAGTCATGATTTATAGAGTTGAAGTAGATGACGGCTGTTGTAGGTTTCCTAAGATTGACTTATATAATTCTTGCTTTTTATGTGAATGTCCTGTTGCGTGTATGTTAAATTTGTGATTCAAGATTGAGATACTGTATTCCCAGTTATTTTCTATGAAATTCAAGATTGAGATACTGTATTCCCATTTATTTTCTATGAATTTAGCCTTATATTACAAATATTTTGGATTTACAACAGTCCCTTATTTTTCATATATCAGCTTTCAACAAGTGAACTTCTTGTAAAGTGCTTAAAACAATAGCTGAAAATCAATTCAAATTTTTAAGAAAGGAAATAACAAGGGAGTACAGTAGATCTTTCTCGCAAAATGTGCTTTAGAAATTGTACTTCCCAAAGGTATTTGCTCGTCATTTCACTGGACTTTCAGAATTTCCAAGTCCCTGTGTACATTTATAGCTGAGGCCTTATTCATCAAACTATCGCAAGCCGATCGCAGTCGCACCGACGTCGCAAGGGGCACTTTTGGCGATCACGTCTTATTCATCAAACATTCGCAGAAGCGATGAGTAATTTATGTGTGCGACGTCGCAGCGATTGCGACCAAAAACCCCTTAAAACGTGCGACAGGGTACCCCCGTTCGCACGGAGATCGCTTAAATTTGAGCCAAAAAAATAGGTTAGAACTCAGAATTCATATATACTATTGGTCATGAAATTAGTCATACCATTAAATGTGATACTCATTTAGATTTACCTTTAATTTGGAAATGATTTTTCGAGTCTTAAGTATTACTTTTTAAGCTCCAAAATTGTCTTGTTTTATGATCTCATTTAACACGTTCCACTAATGATGGAGATCGCAAGGAGGTTAGCTTCTATCATGCATGACTATTTTGACATGTCATGGTCATTACCACGTGGTATTTGACGTAGGTCTTTGCGTCTGTCGTCTGCTATTTTACAAAATGGCTCAGCTGCTCTTGGTGCATAACAGGAGAGCACTCCGCAGAGAGCGAATATTCCGAGATCGTTCGAATCCCCTGGATATGTATGATGATACTGATTTAATCCAGCGATATCGCATGCCTCGAAGGACGATACTAATGGTCCTTAACATGATTGATCTAATACGGATAACGGAAAGATCTGCTGCCCTTACTCCCATGCAGGAGTTGTGTTGCACCTTGCGATACATGGCGACGGGGTCCTTGCAGATGTCAGTTGCTGACACAGCAGGAGTGAGTCAGCCAACGGTATCAAGAGTTATCACAAAGGTAACTCTTGCACTGAGCGAATTGGTTCCAGATGTTATTAAATTCGAGGAACGTTCGTTCAATACAACAAAGGTAATATTTTATCGTAGTACTATTTAATATTGAGTCTTATAAGGATCATGCAATATTTGAAAACACAAACGTAGAAATCAAGGTGCTCATAATAATGGCAGCGGTCACAAACGTGTACGACATGTCCCCATCAATGGGTGGTTTCAATAGATTTTTTAAGTGGATGAATTGTGGGAGGGGGTAAAAATCCAAAATGGCAACCCTCTATATTTACCCAGAATGCCTAAAACCTAATAAGTTCAAGATTTGCATACTAAGAAGCATTCCTGAAATTTTGAAATTGATCCGTGAAACGATTAGCCTGAAAACGCGTAGACAAGACTTTACAGACAAGATTTTAGGACGGAAAGTCCAAAATGGCCGCCTTAACATTTACCAAGAATGGCCAAAACCTAATTAGTTGAAGTTTATCAAACTAAAAATCAACCTTGAAAATTTGAAATTGATCGCACAAGTTAACCCTGAAATTTTGAAGGAGATATCTGTAGCTGGTTTTGGAGAACATAATCTGTCGGACATACAAACGAACGGGCAGACAGACGGACGCACAGACGCGCCTAGGCCGACAATATGTCCCTACACTATGTGGTGGGGACATAATAGTGTCATTGGTTTTATTATGTAACAAGCGCCCGTCCCAATAATATTGTCATTGTCAAATAGTTTATTATCAACGTTATTACAAAACATTTGGTAAAAGTACATTACCGACAGGGATCATCGACGCTACCTTTTAACATGATAACACTTATATTCTATATTGGCCCTTGTGTTTCATTGTTGTAGCCTACTAATCTTAAATGTTTGTAGAACCACCGATACTAATCTTATATAGAAAATAATTGAAAATCGTTGTTTATATTGAATGTCATTATACTTAAGTACTTTAAAATCAGGGATGAAAACCGCGATCTAGACCATTATTTTTACCATTTGATATTCGAACGCTAGAATACTTAGGATCAGCTTATCTTGAGAAAATATGAGATCGTATTATTAAAAAGATAGATCTATTCATGATTTTAATTTTCCATAATACAATAACTTACCGTATTTTCTTAGCATCTCTGTTATTACCCCCATGGGCATTTACCTTGGAGGCAATAGCCTCCCAAACCCTATATTTCCTTTGCTTGGCTATTTCAGAGCAAAGACGTCCGTTTATTATTGAGATATTCTCCTCGACGCCTTCTAGAAGTGCTTCTAGTTCTTCCTCGGTGAAATCAGAACAGCGTTCCATATTTGACATAGTTATTCTAGACTATCGTTGCTACAGTAAGCTTAGTATAAAATTTATATATACTAGTATGTTGGACGAGTGACGATTATGAATATGATCATAATTTTACTACAGAAAAGTATATCTATTTTTAGTAATATATAGCAAGTTCTGCTTGACCTCTAATTGACATAAATTTGAGTACTTTGGATTATCAGTTCATCACTGCGACATCGCAGGGTCATCGCCAAAGTGGGCGCGACTGCGATCGGCTTGCCATAGTTTGATGAATACGACGCAGTCGCTTACACTGCGATGTCGCCCGGACATCGCCAACACTGCGAGGTCGCAAAGACTGCGATAGCTTGATGAATAAGGCCTCTGGTTGATAAAATTGAACAATCAGCCCATATATACAATAGAATGTGTTCAGGTTTTAAAATTGTTAGGAAAGTTACAAGTGGTTATATTAGTTTTGATTATCGATTGTATGGTAACATTTTATAAGATCAATACACTTGGTCGATACAAGTCAAGTAGATTGCTAATAACATGAATAATTGTTTGTAATTTCCTTAGTAATGAAATTGCAGCATGAACCAGTAAATGAAATGACTTCGTGTTAGTGTTATTGCATTGCTCATGGTTAGATTAAAAGGATTTTATGGTTGGCTTGATTTTCTTTAAAGTTCTTTGTAATAGAAAAAGGAAGAACATGGCCACAATGTCATTTCCTAAACTGTTCATGATTGTTATGCACCTTGTCTATATATAGAGTTATGGCTATTTTCTAGCCATGTATATACACAAAAGAAAAAGTTATGGTGAAAAGTGCAATATTCTTGTTCTTAAAGCATTAGACATCAAACATTGCTTACATATTTTAGCATGTCTCACCAGATATATAAGGCATTTCATAATTTGTAGTGAAAGCTAAATGAAGAAAAGTATTTTTCTTTTAATATTTTTAAAGGTGCTTATTTCAAAATGTTTGTTGCTTTAAACAGTAGTAGTATGTATGGAGGAAACTCATGTTATCCTCGATGTGCTAATACTGGTGTGTAAAGATTATCCGCGTTTTAGAAATTATTTTTGTCTGATAATCCCACCTCTGAAATCCATGCTGCCTGCAGAATTATTTCCTTGGGTGCTCAAACTCAGGACAAACATTTCAGAATTTAAATAGTGGATTTAGGAATAGTGACATTTTTTTCGTTTTCGCTTTTTCTTAAAATCCATAAAATGGGTTTCTAGTAAATGTGTAAGTACTATTCCAACATACATTCCAGTTGAAATACTATACCATACTTTTACTGTAAGCTATATCTTTATTCTCTTATTTTTCTATATGCTGTGATGTATCAGGCTAGAGTAATTCGATTTATTTTTAGAAGGATTCGGGAATATTATATTTCATATATCCTCAAATGCATACAATCAAAACATATTTCCATCAAGATAGGTACCAGAATCATATCAATCAAAATAGTTTATATTCCACAAATACTGTGTTTGCCTTTTGAGAGGATATGCTAAACATTTATCAATTTACCCTAGCCTTAGTGCCTATTGATTTATTCTGCCAAAAGCACTGTGAACTTCAATTTTGAGAGGTGTCCATACATTTTGTAACATCAAAAAATCTTCATTTATAGTAGTACATGTATGTTTCAAAACACTTACTTCCAAACCTATGTTCTTAAAATTATCATCCAAAACAGTTTTAGTTATGCTATGTAAATTATATTGGGTCAATTTTGGCCAGATGTTCCGTTTTTCCTGTTACACTGTTTGGGATGCTTTTTTGTACCAGTCCTGATTAAATTTTGGGCATGCTTATTATTCAGATATAGAGTAAATCATACTTCTATATTTTATTTATATACTAGTTTGAAACATACATTTGTGAATTGACACCCTCAAAACAATTCAGGAAAAATATGAAAGTTCTAGTGTTTTTTGAAGAATTATATTGATTGACCTGGTATACAATATGCCGTTGAATGTCTAGTTATGGAGGTGGTGGAATAAATGAGATCCCTTAACAATATTGTGTATGTACTTCAATAATATATCAATTTCAATAGACTAACAACATACTCATATTTGTTTAAATTAATTCATAGTTTTCAGCACTTCTTTTTGTAGTTTTGATTTGTAGAAAATAAAATTTAGCTCATTTCTTAACCATTCCACGAGTGAATTAATGTAAACATCTTCCTTAATTAAATTAAGTTAATTCCATTCAAGTGTGCATTATACTTAAAATTGAAGTGTTTCTGAATTCTGACCATAATTGAGACACATCTGTTTCAATGCCAATGAGAATTACTTATTATCAAACTTGCAATCATAAACCCACAGTCTCATTGTGAAAATCTTCACCTCAAGTAACTTATTGAAAGTATAACATTGCACAATGTTTATTGAACTACATGTTCAGGCCTGTCTCCATTATAGACCCTGTATTTAAAGTTACATGTATGTTTTGTAATTATTAATTCTTTAGGTAGTTTTGTATGTTTCATTCAGTATTTTTAGAATACTCTATTTCTCTTTGTTATTCCATCCATTCCAAGATATAAACATATGTTTGTTTTATGTATAGTATGTATAGTTTTGTTTAAACACCAAAACGGCCTATTTAGGAAATAAATTCTATGTTTAGCCTTATATAGTTTTTGTAGAAGGAAGAGAATATGATTGTTTTTAAATATAGATAAAGGTGAAATGTGTTAAAGTTAAAGATTATTATTTCTAGTACAAAAATACATGGAGTTTATTATTTTGTTTAGTTAAAAAAATGACGTTGGATGATATGCTAAACACATTTCTATTTACTCTGGCCTTATTGTATACTTGTTACATAGAATGACCAAAGGCATGTTTGCTCAACATTGGAATCTTAAGACACTGCCTTTTGGAGGTATGTCAAGTCATCTGGATTTGAAGTTGATATTAGTTAGCTTTTTCAAATAGGCCTACACATAGCAGCAATATTCTATACAAAAGTTAGGCCAGGTTCATATGTTTTCATTTTTCCATATAATGTTGCAATGTGGTCCTTCAATCCCTTAATTTTTATATTCAAAGTTATCAATGGATTTAAAAATCTTACTGTAATACAAGTAAAATAATCCCTGTCTTATGTGGAAAATACAATGTACATGTAGGCTATATCTAAATTATGAAATTCTATTCATTACATAGCGTACCAGTCTACACAACCAGAATGAAATAGAAAAAATATATATATATAATACATAAAATAAAGTTATTATGACAAAACACTTACTAGTATTTGTTTTTCTTTTTTTGCCAGTTAGAAGTTAGTTGTGCAGAAATATTGAAATAAAAGAAAATGTTTATAATCACAAACAGTAAAACCTGTCAACTGGAACACCTTATTAGGAGAACAATTTTCAGAATTGTTTATACCAATTAAATTTTTTAATGTAAAATGAACATCTAAAGTGAAACACCTCTCACATTGAACACACTATTTTATGGTACCAAATATGTTCCACTGACTCTATGTCCCTGATGCATTCCAATACCATTTTATAGGATATACTTAAGGATAAAAGATGAAACCATATTCAGCGACCCAAAATAATGATAGGAGTCATAAAGAAATTCCTAATAATATAGCTATGCTTACTTCTTATCAAGTACCAAGACCAGAACATGGATTGATTGATAAACTCTACTTAACAAAGTTTGTGTCAATGATTACCGGATTTTCTTGCATATACTCCCCCCTAAAGGACGATTCTCGGTTTGGAGAACAGTCTCCTGGGCTAATAATTTTTTTCATGAAAAATATGGAAATATTGCCCAAATTAAATGATGAATATTCAAAAGAGGACATTTAAATCTACAAGATGTTAAAATAACAAATTGGTCTGAAGCAGGGATAACGCTCAATTTGACCGATTCAATAAAATACAAGTCTCGATTTGGGGAAAAAAGTTCATCAGTGTAGTGCGCTAATATTTTTTTGTGAAAAATCTAGAAATATTACCCAAATTAAATTATGACTATTCAAAAGAAGACATTCAAATCTATATTATGTAAAAAAAATCAAATTTGTCCGAAGCAGGGATAATGCTCATTTAGATTGATGAAATTCGTTCTCCAAACCGAGAATCGTCCTTTAGGCCCATGGGCCAAAAATCGAATGTAGTACGCTTATACTATTTATTGATTTTTTCAATAAATTCAAGAGTATTTTGTCACTGGCAGATCGTTCTGTCGTTACTTTGTTTCAACATAAGTTCAACGCTGTGCCGTAAGTGGCAGTGGTGGATCGTTCTGTTGTTACTTTGTTTCAACATTAAGTCCAAGGTTGTAGGTGACATTTCCTTTATAATTCTTACAAAAAATGCGGTAGGACTACAACAGTAGGTACTGTAGTCTTTGAGGAAGATGGCTGATGCCCACGCTCTTCTCACCTTTACGCCCACTGGGCCAAAAATCGAAAGTAGTACACTTATACGCCCATGGGCGAAAAATAAGAGGTAAAATAACAAACGAAATTACCCCTTCTTTCAGTTATACGCCCAGGGCTTATATGCGAGAAAACCCGGTACTAGTTTTCCACAAATAATCCAGCGGAAATGTTACAATGGGTCAGGGAAAATGGTAACTGAACGAGCATGATGAAATGACTGAAATGCTCTCACCACATTAAAAAATTGCCACAGTTAGATTCAAATCAATGAATATGATCACAAATGATTCTACACTTAATCATTTGTGAGATCAGTGAGAGGGTAAAGATAGAGTTCACTTCAGTGTGCGTTTTTGACTGCAATACCCATTGTTAGATGGCAGCACAATCTGTTCAAATTTAATCTCGTTTGAAATCTCGCTAATTCTCGTCCATGCTGAAAAACTGAAAAAATCGAAATATTCAGTTTTTCTCAAATAAATCAAACAAAGGGCATCAAGATGTGGTTCGATGAAGTCGGTGAGATTGCAGAGGTGTTTAGGACCAGTCTGCCTCTTTCATTTCTCTTTTTTGTGCCAATTATCATTCTGATCTCTCCAGTAAGCCCAGTCGGCGCTGCGCATGATTTTTCAGTTTATCGAATGCAACAATACGATCTTCAACAAACGAAGTACGGTATGTATATTTTGTTGAATGAGTTCCAGAGTAAACTAATTTAATATGTCTACATGTGCAAACCTAAAGAAACCCTTCCCAGATCTATGAAACAGACCCGTCAGGTGGGAGGGGCGGAGGAGGTGTGGTTGCAACTTACTCACGTCGAGAGCTACCATGTTAGATTTTTAAAAGTACTCACGTCGAGAGCTACCATGTTAGATTTTCATGGCCGTAGCCAGGGGGGGAGCAGATGGTGCAGGTGCACCCCCCCTTGAGTTTTGCCTCGTCGCTTTTTGAAAAAGTTGACTCATCACTATTTTATTATTTGCCTCACAATATGTAAATATACACATTCAGTTCACTAAATATATACGAAAAGCTAAAATTTCGAACATTATTTACTGCCAAAATTCTATGGGTTGAATTTTGCTTGCCTCATTTACAGGGGAAAGTTGCGTCATTTACAGAGAAAATTTGCCTCAGATAGAAAATTAGCCTCACGAGAGAAAATTTGCCTCAGTGAGAAAATAAGCCTCACTTACAGAGAAAATTAGCCTCACTTACAGAGAAAATTTGCCTCACTTACAGAGACAATTTGCCTCATTTACAGAGAAAATTTGCCTCACTCACGGAGGAAATTTGCCTCACTTACATAGGAAATTTGCCAAAGAGAGAAAAATTATTGCCTCACTTAAGGTGAAAATTTGCCTCATTTACAGAAAATTTGCCTCAGTGCACCCCCCCTTGGGAAATCCTAGCTACAGCAGTGATTTTGAAAGTATAGCTTATACTTTCAAAATCTAAGTAGCTCTCGACGGGAGTAAGTTGCAACTCCCTCAGAAATCTTGGAAAAATGCCTGGCATTAATGTAGCAATGAGTCTTAATTTTTGTTTAGTGTACAATGATCTTTTGAACTTAAAGCTGTGCGCCCTTGTACATTTCCGGGAACGTAGTCTTTACATGTAAATTGAAGATAAAGTGATCGTAACAGACCTGAAATCAGCGTAGTTCTGGCGTCATTCTTATCCATCAACATAATGGAAAATCTTTGTATGTAGTATTGCTTATGTTTCCAGGGTGTAAGAATGCCATAGTAAATGTAGAAGCACGTCCCATCAATGCTAACACATATACCAGGCGCTGCATTGTAGCGCAGCTTCATGAAATGACCAATGAGAAGTTCAAGAATATGCAAGAACAGAATGCTGGAGGCCTCTTGGTCCTGTTACCTAGTAACATGTCTAGGCTCTCCGATAAAGAAAAAGAGGTAAATTTGGTACTCTCATATATCACAGTAGATATAATATTGATCTTAGTGACTTTTATTTGTAGAAAATCAAAAAACATATTTGCCCGACATGTAATGGATTATATATAGTCTGATAAAGATCTGATGGTACTTTGGTGATCACATATTATTATTTGGTGTCTATAACAAATTGTTTGGTATCTGTAACAAATTCTTAAAGCTTCCAATAACTGGTGATGTCGTGTTAATTCCTTGATACTTACTGTAAAGTGTAAGCATGGGCGGATGTGGGAACCAACAAGGGGGGGGGGCAAATTTTGGGCCCCTAAAATCCAAAAGTGGGCCCAACTTCTGAAATTTTGAGGCCCATTTTTTCAAAATTTGGCCTGAAATCAAAAAATAAGGCCTTTGAAGGCCCAGTTATGACCAAAAGGCTCACTTTTTGGGGCCTTAAGGCCTTTTTTGGCCTAACATTTTTTTTCTGGGCCCACCCAGGCCCCCCCCCCAGATCCGCCAGTGCTGTAAGTGCCAGTAGACCCCAACAGTAGTAGCCCAGAGGACAATATCAGCATTATGGATACATTTGCGTATAAGTTGAAAAGAGCTAGACTGGGAAATGATGTTGTTGTATTGTGTATTGCAGCATTTATTAGAACTGGAGCAGGACATGATGCAGGAGGAGACAGTTCTGCCTGTTTACTTTACTACAGAGACAGAGGAGCTAATGGAAATATACAATGACATCAAGTTGGCAACCAACAGTGACCAGGCTGCTTCAGCTACAGAAGGTAGAGTATCTTCAATATTGTTCATTTTCATTCAAGTGGTCTTGCTAGCCTTATAAGCCATGGTTTGTCACCAGGATTTAGAAAAACTCCAGCCGCAACGTAATTCAGCTAGTGATTACTGTTGCCAGTCTTATACACAATCATATTGTGTAAGAAAGAGTAATCTGATGACCAATTAAAAGCATAAGCAGGGGTTTCACGAGAATTTCTCACAACAGGCTAAATAAATGAAAACAACAGGCAAAATTAATGGAAATCATAAATTTAGCATGGAAAAGTTGATAAGTCCCTAAAAGCAACAGGCAATTTTGTAAAAGCAACTGGTGGAAATCGCCTGTTGCCTCCTGCTAATAAAACCCCTGATAAGGCGGGTTAATTTTTCGAATATGAATTGTGTTGGTACCATACATTTTACTTTTTGATATTTAATTTAGATTTTTGTCCCTCCAACATAAATGTTCAAATGAAAAATACTTTGCATTTACTTTTTCTTAACTACTGTTGATACATTTAGATTTATTATAAATAGGTGTTAACAATATCTGTCTTTTATCTTCTGTTATTGCGATATATTGAGATTTATCAGCTTAGAGTCCTTCAGAATTATTTGAGATATTTAATTAATTTTTGTTTTCGGATAAAGTTGGACTAGACTCAAATGACCTCCTTCTGAAGAGAGTGTTTAATCTAGGCTTAAAGATAAGGATTATAAATTATCCCAAGTTTTAGACCAGTTACTAATATGAATGTTAATTGTACATAAATCCCATGGTATCATGTTCTTTATTGTTTAATAGAGCCCTATGATACCTGCTTTGGTTTGTAAATGACCTATATTCTAGCCCTGCTTTGTAAGTGTCAGAGTGATTTTCTTACTCTGATGATTTGTAATGGCCTGATCACACATCTTATTTTCCAGCTCTACTTGGTGTATGATAGTATAATTCTTTATTTTCTACAACTACATGTGTTATTTGTAAAGACCTCATCACACATCTTACTTTCTTGCCCTACTTGGTGTATGATCGCATTATTCTTTATTTTCTACAACTACATTGTGTTATTTGTAAAGACCTCATCACACATCTTACTTTCTTGCCCTACTTGGTGTATGATCGCATTATTCTTTATTTTCTTCAACTACATGTGTTATTTGTAAAGACCTCATCACACATCTTACTTTCTTGCCCTACTTGGTGTATGATCACATTATTCTTTATTTTCTACAACTACATGTGTTATTTGTAAAGACCTCATCACACATCTTACTTTCTTGCCCTACTTGGTGTATGATCGCATTATTCTTTATTTTCTTCAACTACATGTGTTATTTGTAAAGACCTCATCACACATCTTACTTTCTTGCCCTACTTGGTGTATGATCGCATTATTCTTTATTTTCTACAACTACATGTGTTATTTGTAAAGACCTCATCACACATCTTACTTTCTTGCCCTACTTGGTGTATGATAGCATTATTCTTTATTTTCTACAACTACATGTGTTATTTGTAAAGACCTCATCTCATATCTTATTTTCCAGCTCTACTTGGTGCAGCATGGGCAAATGGCTTCCAGTTGGTCGTGAATGGCCCTCAATCTAAATCTCTTCCTGATTATGAGATTGCCAACATACAAGGTAAGAGTAAAGAATATGTACATAATGATATAGTCATATACGAGGTCATTCATAATGCCTGGGTCACATTTGCTCTGTTTCATCGGCTGGCACCCGGCCGATTGAGTATTTTGCTCAAAACTGAATACGGCTGATGAATCTGAGCAAATGTGACACTGGCATTAGGTAGATAACATTTATATGCTTGTAGTATAACATGCGCTTGTTCTTTTAAAAAAAACATATTAAGAAATGTACAGAGTATACTATCGTTGTATATTGTATGAGTATGAGACTGAGTCTATAACTTTTGATGAATTTTTGGAACAACAGTGTTAAGTTTAAAATTAATTGAGTTATAATTGTGATTGTTCTCTCCATTCAGGGAAACTGTCAGGGTTTGGTATAGAAGAGCAGCTTCCAACAATTGCCATAGTGGCTCATTATGACTCTTATGGAGTTGCACCAGTGAGTAGGCTAAAAATAAACATTTTTACAACAAAATTATTTATTTAGATTTTATTTAACCTATGTGTATTAGTTGTTGACAAAATTTAGCTTTTATTCCTTCTAGATGAAATCCTTTGCAAAAAAATTCACACATATACATGTATATTTGACCAAGTCCATAAAAATTCACACATATGCATGTATATTTGACCCAGTCCCTAAAAATTCACTCATTTGCATGTATATTCGACCCAGTCGCTAAATATCTTTGTCCTGTAAATTTTAGCCTTCCTAATATACTTGTAGTTGTTTATGTTGTAACAATGTAGAATACAATCCAATGTTTTGATTGATTCCAGTCTCTTGCATTTGGTGCTGACTCTAATGGAAGTGGAGTGGTAGCATTGCTGGAACTTGCCAGGCTCTTCTCAAAACTCTACATGAACTCAAGAACCCACGCCAAGTATCCTTTACAAATAATAAACACATTATCATGAACACTGTTGTTATAAAATATTTGAAATGAAATATTTAAAGACAACATAATTTCCTCAATATCTTTGTAAATGCTAAAACTATGAAAGATGTTATAAGTCAGAAAAATGTTCTTCCTCCCATGCACAATAGAAGTACAGTAGTTTGTGTGCATGTACATATCTTTACCTCCCTTATAAATTAGGAGTAGACAATTAACCAGAGGCCTTAAAGTGTTTTTGGCATTACACGGATGGTGTACGGCAATTACAATATTACATGATATGAATGAAAATATTCTTTAACATGTGCAAGATTTAATCTGCTCTTCCTGCTCTCTGGCGCAGGCAAGTTTAACTACCAGGGCACCAGGAAGTGGATTGAAGATAGCTTAGATGCCTCAGGTGAGTCTAAATGCAACATACACTGACTTATTTCCTTATTTCTCGCGTGAAGTCTCTGCATTGGTCAACCACCTTCCAATATAGAGAGAATGTACATGGGTATAGGGATTAAATGTAGGACTACATGTATTTTAATTTTTTTAAACAGAATGAAGCTGAATATCTTTTTTGATTTGTTAAGCCACTTCAATAGTCCAATCATATGCACAATGCTCTATAGATGCTGTAATCATGTTGAAAATATTTATTGAAACTATATTTCCTTGTATTGATTGAATAGAAATTGATACCTTACTGGATTGATAATTGTAGGCTGCTTCAATAATGCTTTGTGTCGTTGCCCACAATGAATGCTTTATCTCAAAGAGATTTTGCGTCACACGAGTTATATTCTTCTCACTAAATAATTGCATAATTAGTTTTTGATCGTCACTGATTATGTCACTCGTCATCACAACCTTGTCACAGTGTCATCATTTTATGTCACCACCAGAAGTGGTGACATATTGTTAGTCTCCAACTTTTTTGTGGATGGTATTCAGTGGTTGGTGTTTGGTGGTTTGAGTTCAGCAGCTTGTGTTCAGCTGTTGGTGTTTGGCATCGGTAACAAATGGCAGGTGATGACATTTTGTATGTTAGTGCCTTGTTATCACATTGTCATTGACATTACTAAATCAGGATCATTAGTTGATTGTCTACATAGTACATACTTCATGAATCCTAAACGAAAGAGTTTATTTGTTGAAGAGTAGAGAAGAATTATAATACACATGTAGAAGAGTCCAAGCCATATTGCTGCAAAATGAAGCAATGGATAATGTATATTGCCTGTAGTTGATTGGTATATCACTATACCCCCAATGTACATCAACCAGCACACATATAGCACCCCAACCAGTAGGATTATCATCTTGATAGCTTTCAGTTCAGATTTGAAACTGTTTCTCACCCATGGTTTGTTCCCTTTAGATTCCTTGGTATCTTTTTGTTTTTTTATTCCTATTTTATTGATATTTTTTTGGTGACGTCGAGCAATCACGAAGATGTTGACATGAGCACCAGTCATTGTGGTGATGAAAATGTAGATGATGCTTTGTAAAATGTACGGATACAAGGATGTTGATCGCCATTTCACTTCACAAAGGAATGCTCCAGTTCTATACTCATACTCAGATACGGCAATGGGAATGCAGACTGCATAAGCTAACAAACATAAGATAACAGTCGCTAAAATCACACGCTTTGTTGTCGCCTTTGGGGGATACTGAAATGGGTATTTAATGGTAAATAACTTATCAATGCTCATTGCAGTTAAAAACAACAATCTGCACAGTACAGTTGCGGATAATAAGTACGCCATTGTTTGGCAGATTGTTCCATTTAGGCTGCCTCTGTGGATACTCTCATAAAATCCCAGGTACATGAAGCCTACACTGCTATCTGTTAAGGCCTGTCCTAACATGAACACTCCTGCTGAAGTCCACAACGGCCTTGTTCTGATCACAACATAGATGATTAGAGTGTTTGATATTGCTATAGCAGATGAAATCAGCAGTATGATCGCTTTTTGGTAAGGAGCAGGTGGTGTGAAAAATATTGTCTCATTCATCATCAAAACATTGTACATGTTCATATATTTCAAATCACCTTTTCGTTTGCTTTGAACTTTTTATTAGATTGATTCCATAGTTTTGCAGCAGTTTTGTGTTATATCCTTCTTTAACGTTTCAGTCATGTTAACAAACACATATTTAGAAGCCTGTCTCCATTTTGAAGTATGTTTAAATATGCATATTTATTCTTTTTTAAAACTTCAATAATTCTCAAAATATGTTTCATATGTTTATCTATTTTGTCTTTTTATTATTTTTTTAATTATGTTCCCATCAATTCTTTAAAGATTTCTGATCATCTGTTCTTCCTTTGTTGAAATGTTGAATTTTTATTGGATTACGTCATTCAGTCGATCATACATGACCAAAGCACTCCCTCTGCAAGTGATCCCCTCGGAAAAAAATGTCTTAACTTTCCAAATTTCATGTTGCAAGGAATACATCATTCTATTATGAAACAAAGCAAGGAAATGTAGTCTGAATATTTCAATATTTGAGCACATTGATTAAAGCTAACCAACACTTATTGACCCCAGGGCTGTTTGTTCTCCCATCTGGATAATTTAGAAAGGTCTATTTGTATATAACAATACTTTTTTTGTTTGTGTCACATTGATCTATTGAGTGACAAAGACACGTGATTTCAGCAAGTGTGCACAAATGAGGTTGATTTTTGATAACCTCATTCAAAACTGTGATATTTCTTTAACGATTATCTGTTTGTAAGAAGGTAATTAAAATGAGTTTTGTAGGGGATCAAGAGTTGCATAATATGGAATATGGAGGAAATTAATGCACCTTTTCGATGTTCAGGTTTCTTGAGTTGATGGATTGCTTTCCCAAGCAGCTCCTTTGATTGCTTTTTCACTCCAGTCTATGAATCAAAACCATATGTTTCATTTTCCATGTCATCATTCCCCTATTATTTCCTAAGCAGGTATTATCTCCCACATGTTGATGACCGTTCATGAATATATAGGAAACTATTTTAAAGCATTTATCAGAAATCATTAGTTACCCTTTTCATACTTGCCGCTCACATTGATATAGCTTCCCAATTAGTGCATTAAAGAAGCAGCAAATATAACCTTGACAAAAATGTATGTACCTCATATAAACTCGAGTCTCACTGTTTTTTTAAACATTATACTAGTATAGCAGTGTGACAACATTTGTTCTGATCTTTGTCCATTTAAATTAACAATTTATTGTTGAGCAAATATTTAACAGGAATTACTCAGATGTGAGTAGGTAGTTACCAGTTTCGCCACCAGGTGGCTGATTCGGGGGAATTAACATGGCAGGGTATTACAAAATTCCCTTAAACTTGAATATGCATCAGTTTTAGTGGTTCACTTGTCATATTGCCCTTATGTATCTGATAGTTATACAAATTAAAATATGTCCAGTAAAAGAAAATATTATCTGCCCAACACAAGAAAAGATATTTCACTTTTTGTGGTTTTACAACATGGGGTCTATGGGGAATCTCCCCGACCTAGAAGTCACATTTTCAAAGAAAATTTAATTTTCAAAGTTGATAAACTCTTTTCAAAACCACATTTCTAAATGTAATTTTACATGTAAATTCAAAATATGACATCAGTTTGACTGACAATTTTTAATGACGTAAATCAAGATTATTTCTACTCGCATCTGGAATATTGATTAGCCTAATTTCATTACCAGTGATATTCACATGGCATGCTGTGTGCCAGAATGACCCCTATGTCCAGGTCCAGTCTGTAGTGTAACTTATGAAACAGGATCAAATCTAGGGACTCAAAAATCAATCATGGTATTCAAAAATCAATCATGGTATTCAAAAATCAATCAATCTTTATTGACAATTCTATTGTATACCATGTAATTGTGCGTCATTATATGTATGTGTATGTCAAAACATGTTTGATTATTTGTCAAAATGTGGGTAGCAGAACTTCAAGATATTGAGTTTGTCTTGTCTTGTGTTTGTTTTCATTGGCAATTGAATTGACTTACATGAAACTGCATGATTGGATGAAATATGTGTACCTGTCTGTCTATACAATTACCAAGAATCTGAAGGCATACACAATACAGTGTGTACTATTTATTTGGATAGTTTTTTCTTGGCTTAATAATAAATATATATATATATATTATACAGGGGTTTCATGAGCAGGCAACATACACTTTTCACTGGTTGTTTTCACAAAACCATCTGTTGTTTTTAGGGACTTTTCAACTTTTTCGTGTTTAATTTATGATTTTCATTAATTTTGCCTGTTGTTTTCACTTATTTAGCCTGTTGTGAGAAATTCTTGTGAAACCCCTGTTACAGGACAAGCCTTAAGATACATGTATATTTATGAAACTGACAGTAAATGAATTTTAGTTACTCATATGAGATGCTTTATGGGTAAGTTACCCTCAAGGTGAGTTACAAGTTCCATATTGGTTCAAAAGGGCCATCGCAAAATACCTTAATCCCAATGTTATTATTGTCTATTTTCAGAGAGTAGTCTACTACCTTAATCCCAATGTTATTCTCTTCTATTTTCAGAGAGTAGTCTACTACAGGATGTACAGTTTGTCTTATGTCTGGATACTTTAGGCTCATCCAACAATCTAAACCTTCATGTCTCTAAACCACCTAAAGAGGGCAGTGCAGCAGCAAGCTTTGTCAAGGTAACAAAGTGACCATTTATACCTCAGGAATGAATCTTTTTAACTTTATTCTATGTGTAACAGCCAGACAAAATCCTATAAAAAATTAAAAGGCATCAATGAAAAGACATTCTTTTAATATTTTCTGTATATAAAAGTTAAATTTGAGTAACTTGATCCCACAGTCTGTACAGGCAAATTATATAGATCCCTGTACAAGCTTGTATGAGTCTTGGAACTTACAAGCTGTTTAGTGGCCTTGAACGTCTGTTTCAGGTTGTACAGAACTCGTTGAGTCAATGGGTCTCATACAGCCATGTAAAGGCTCAAATGTAGTCTGTCTATGTACTGTACATATGAATGAAGTTCAATTTCATTTCAGCATTTAGAAGAGGTGAAGGCTTCCTTTTCCCCAGAAGTCAACTTCAATGTAGTTCACAAGAAGATCAACCTGGCAGATGACCTCCTAGCTTGGGAACATGAGAGGTTTAGCATACGCAGAATCCAGGCCTTCACCCTATCCCACCTAGACAGTCATAAACACCTAGAAAGAAACTCAGTCATTGATACAAGGTAGACTTAATAAGATTACCGGGTCTTTCCCCATGGAAATTATACAAATACTAATAAAGATAGTTAATTCATGGAGACTAAGATGGATTCAGATTGAATATATAATAAAAACGCAGTAATTCTCTATGTTCTCTATGATTATGAAAGGATTTGTATTTGGGGTTTCATTAAATATTCTGACTTAATGATTGAAAACAACAAGCAAAATTATTGGAAAACATAATGTTTTATCAATTGTAAGCAGTTTCAAACTGGCAATTTTGGTATAAACAGCAAGAGAAAATCGCATGCTACTTGCACATTGACATGTTTCTTCTCATTTTATATTCTTTATTCATGTATTTCTGGTTTTATTTGCAGAGAAAGAGTTGACAACCAAAAGCTTGCCAGAAATGTTAAGGTTCTAGTTGAAGCCTTAGCCAGACATGTGTTTGATGTGCAAAATCAAGGGAACTTAGAGATATTCAATGGTGCTTTGGTAAGTGACAAGATTTCTTTAGAGATATTCAATGGTGCTTTGGTAAGTAACAAGATTTCTTTAGAGATATTCAATGGTGCTTTGGTAAGTAACAAGATTTCTATAGAGATATTCAATGGTGCTTTAGTGAGTAACAAGATTTCTTGAGATATTCAATGGTGCTTTGGTAAGCAACAAGATTTCTTTAGAGATATTCAATGGTGCTTTAGTAAGTAACAAGATTTCTTTAGAGATATTCAATGGTGCTTTGGTGAGTAACAAGATTTATTTAGAGATATTCAATGGTGCTTTGGTGAGTAACAAGATTTCTTTAGAGATATTTAATGGTGCTTTGGTGAGTAACAAGATTTCTTTAGAGATATTCAATGGTGCTTTGGTAAGTAACAAGATTTCTTTAGAGATATTCAATGGTGCTTTGGTAACTAACAAGATTTCTTTAGATATTCAATTTTGCTTTCGTGAGTAACAAGATTCATTTAGAGATATTTAATGGTGCGTGAGTAACAAGACTTCTTCAGAGTCACTAGTGTTTGAATTCAATGCAACTGCCAGACTTGAGATCATAAGGAAACTATGCTGATTCTTAAAGAACATTGGGTCACAAGGTCTTGTAAGACCATGGGCCAATATAGCATATCATTTATCTTTGTAAATAAATTGCTTGAGGGTGATGAATTTAATGATGTAGTGATAATGTGTACATGAGTGACATCTATATTTACATTTGCAGTTGAGATTAAATACACTGGTCATGATTGAATTTTAGATTTTCGGGAAAAAATAAAAAATATAAGTGATTTAACACCTTGCTTTTTCCATGGTTAAACATGCAAGAACCTTCCCTTGTAGGATGTTCAAGAGGAATCTATAGGCTCATGGATGGACTACCTTGGCACACAATCCAGGGCAGCCCAAGTATTAACCAAAGACCATGTAATAGTAGCAGCTTTAGAACAGGCTCTCTCCAGACATCTGAAAGATGTGAAGAAGGTGCTCTCTACAGCAGACAAAAGGTACAATTTATAACATGGGAATCTGACTTGTTTGAATTATTGTCTTTGAAGCATCGTTGGGGATAATTCTATATATAGTGGAATTCAAAATCCATATTTGACATCTTTAGTTTTTAATGTAAGCATCCATATGTTAATAGGGCATTAATTCTAGTTATGCGATTCGTGGGAATTATCCTGCATTACTTTTACCTATTTCAAACCCAAAGCTCCATGTGAATGTGGTTTAAACAATACAAAAGAAGGACAAAGTTTGAATTCCTCAATTCTTATCGACCATTTTGAAAAATAAGATAACAACTATCAATATGTTCTCAAAATTGACAAGTTAGGCTAATATATGCAATTTTCCTTAATATTTTGTTTGCTTATTTGTAGAGATCCTGACTTTGTGTTCTACTCTGGTGCCGAATTCACTATGTCAGCTTACAAGTAAGTTATTTATGACAGACTATAAATTACAATTTTTCAGTTTATGCTTTATCAATCACTTTCTTTGTATGTGATATTGCATTTTAATTATTGAATGATAGAAAACCCAAATAGAAATATGGTACAAAAAAATTGGGGAATTTATTTTTACCTAACACCCTCCTAAGATTTGGGCCATTTCCAGGATGTTAAACATATAATTAACTTTAAATGGCTTTAGCATGCCATGCACTTCAGTGCAGAAACTAACTCAGGACTAGTACAGACCTGGAAATGACAGGGAATTTTAATTATTTTTTTGCTAAAATGTTGAAATAATGAAATGTAAGGATTGTACCAGAGCATGAAGTTACAAATTGATGAAGATCGCTTTTCTCTGCACAAAGCTGGAATTTCATTTTGAATGTTTTGCAGAATCCCATAATCTGACTTTCTATCAAACTATGTAAAATGCATCCATGGATTAGAGAATTGGATTTTTGAAATACCCCTTATATTTAACATATTTCTTTATTGTTTTCAGTGTAAAACCAGCAGTATTTGATCTGTTCCTGGCTCTGGCTATAGCAGGATACCTTGGCTGTTTGTTCTTAGCAGGACAAGTAAGTTGACTTTGATTCATTTCAAAATTCTGCTTGATAAGGTTGATGAGGTACATGTCCCACAAAGAGCATGTATAAGTGTTTGTTTCCGTGCAGCCCCAAATGTCCTATAGTACTGGGAACTGTACTCATTTCAGTCAAAAGTTTATATCATTTAAAATTACTAATATTTTATATACTAGGAACAAACAGACATTAAACTATTACAGTTCCGCTGTGTTTTATTTCCAGCATTATTCAACCGTCCTGATGTATGTGAGGAAATATACTACTCCAAGGAAAGCAAAAGTTCAATGAATGGAAACACTGGAGAAAACTTAATATGTAATACAGGGAACTCAATAAGAAGCATCGATTGGCATTTATGCAGTTTATACTATACTAACAGTCTTAATAATTACAAAAAGATGAAAAAATGACTCATCAGAAACATCACTGATAATTAACATTACTGAGAGCGAATGGGTATAGAAATATGAGTGACTGAAGATTTGTAAAATGATATTTTAATATTGATTAGATATAATTCTCCTACCTTAACTCACCCTTCCTCAGTATGATTATGTTATTAATGGTAGTTATAAGCAATAAATTATAGTTTTGGTGTAGAGTGAATGGTCTGCATTCATGCATACATTCATTCGTTTCTAGTGACACTGAAACTTATGATTATGAAGACCACCAATTAAACAATTTTATTAACTCCCTGAGTTTATTGTAATTTGTTAACGACCAATGGAGTGACCAATACCTCTTGGGTATATCCCATATTTTACCTGTTTACAGTCATAATATTCTAATTGTCATGGCGAAAGTATTTTGCCATGGAAACCAATGTTCTACTTGAAGCTTTTCCTCACAATATATGTTCACTATTTGTGAGTTTCACACATTTGTGCAGGTTGGAAAGTTTATTTCTAGGGGGATTTCTTTTCTAATGTCAAAAAGGAAAACTATTTCTAGGACAGTGTACATCCAGTCAGGTTGCATCACAATGAAAGGCAATTTTAATGAAGAGTATTTGTAAGATTATGTTGTAAACAACTAAGAGAATAGAACAAATTCTGAAATAAGACAGATTGAAAATGAGTACTTTATGAATAGGGATGAACGCATATGTTTCATTTACTATTTAAAGAGAAAAATGATTAATTATCTGAAGAATTGTAAATATTTGAAACTGGAAATTATGATATCCTTGACTTGATTTCTATTCAAATGTTCTTAATTTGTAATTTGTATGGTCACAAAGTTGAGTTTTGGTTTACTTAAATTATGTTTTATTAATGAGCGTCAACCAAAACTTGGCTAATGTGGCCTTGTTTTATATTTCACTGAGTTTCTGTTAATTTAAATTAATTTTATGCAAATTATGTATGTATATATTGTTGTTGTTGCAATATATGTAGCATTAGTTTTCTACTGTTTATTAGATAAACACATGCAATAAACACTACAAAGTTTTAGAGAATTCTGATTTTATTTCTATATTACATTAGAGCTGCATATGTCTTACACTGAGATACTGTAAACCCCCACCTAATTCTGTTTCCCTCGTGGGCTTGAGAGTGAATGGGGTGGGGGTATATGGCGGAGATGCAAGATTTGTTTGCATATGAATACATACTATTCTAGTATCTTAAAATTCTGCTTGTACAGTATTAGTTATTAAAATTTGGAAGTTTGAGTTTTTTGCACCTTCTCCTTGGAAGCTATTGATTTACTGGAGGAACATAACTGATCTGATGAGAGAATTCCACAATATCACAAGTGAAACATTGAAAGCAAATGAGGCTACTAACTTGTGAACTGCACCAGTGTATAATTTAGAAGTATTATTTTATCATCGACAGTGATGATGTCCTTCTCCAGTTCTTGTCAGTGATAGACAAATGGAAATGAATTTCAGATTCTTCATTTATGCCTTGGTCACATTTGCTCAGATTTTTACAACGGTGCCCGGCCGATTGAGTATTTTGTTCAAAATTGAATACAATATTGAATAAAACACTCAATCGTCCGGACGGCGGTCGATGGATCGGAGCATATGTGACCCAGGCATTACCGGGGTACACACCAGACCTCGACATACCATGCACATTTGAGGATCCACATCGAGCTGAACATACTACCGAGCTCACTGATACAGAGGCCCTCAGCTCAGCCATGCAAGCTTACTGTATCACAAGGTCTGGTTAATACCACTGATTTGTTTTCCTCTGGGTGTCTTGGTTGCATCCCTGTAGCCAGTTACATTTTTACATTTTTTCATTCTTTATTCAATTTTAGTACATACAAAATACCATGTAATGACTGCCAAAGTTTAAAAACATTGGTGGCAGTTTGTATGTTTACATGATCACCGTGATCACACATTAACAACAGGCTGTATTGCAATACATGTTGCTGCTGCCTTAACCATCAATAGGCACATAGTACATACATTTCACATGATTATGTGTGATTAAATCCACTTAAAGGCAGAATCAGAACTGTAGAGAGGAGAGTGGATAGAACTGCAACCGACATTATATTTGACCTACCAATGTAGTTTGTAAAATCTCAAACATTTAACTTTCAAAAGCCTCATATCTAATTATCAAATGGTGAAGTTATCTAAGATACAAAGTGACAAAATGTGTAAATTGTCCCAAATGATAAAGCATTTATAGAAAAAGTGAGACGATTGTTAAGTAAATCTGATTCTGCCTTTAACGATTATAAACAAAATGGTTGACATGTGTAAATCCTAATATTTTGAAAATTCCCATGTTATAGGATTTCGACTTTTAACGATAGGTGGTGGTGCACTTTTACATCTTCTAGGGGGAAATGTAGCTGTCCTTTCCTGTAATGACAGCCTTTGAACTGATAAACTTTCAGACACCCAGTCCGGGTGAATAGTAAAATATCCAGGCTTTTTGAACTTATGAGGCTTGAATAAACCACCACCGTACTCGTAGACGGCAGACTTGGGTCTTTGAGATTTCTGTCCATTTTCTGAGGAGTTTTTTCGCTCAAAACCATTGAGATCAAACTCAGATTTAGGCCTCTCTTTAGATTTGTCTCGAGAAAATTTACGAAAGAATGATGGATCCATTTGTCCAGGTAGAGTGAGTCTTGTTGGTTGAGATGTGACAGTCCTTTCTATCCTGAAAAGATAACATCAGGTATTAATAAATGAACAATTAAAGGGTTGGTCTGATCCTAAAATACAGCAAAGAAATGAGAATAACTTATAACCATCTATAGACTTTGAAACAAACCTTTCTAAAAAAACATTTAGAAACTTTAGAACCACCTTTTAAAATTGTAAAAGATGTGCGTATCGAAGTAATTGAAGGGTGTTATATTTTAAAAAGTTGGGATATTTCAGGATCAGAGTTAAATGGATTATAATGCAAAAGTCATAATATTGATTTCTATAAATTGGTCTTGCAAATCTCATTGGTTCACGAGTATCACATCTGCTCATAGATTATCCAAACATACTTTGATTTTACGATAAATTCATTTGAGCGCTGACCAATATAACATAAAATGATTTACTAGCGTAGTCACCTTAGTTATACTGAGGAAAGTCACAGTGTATTACTTATTGATTAATTCTTCTGTATAGAAGACCATGCATGTCAAAGTGATATGGTATGGTGACATATCCTTGCTATCGTGTATACTCCTGGTATTCTATACTTTACCTATTGTTAACTCTTCCAACGTGTATAATTGGATCGATATCATTTGGGAAAACAATCGATTTATTTTTTGCCATCATGTTGTTATGATTTATATCTGGTCTTTTGAGATATTTCTTTCTTCTGTCTTGAAGACGTCTACATGGTGCCGTGAGTGGCCTGGGCGGAAGAGCATATCGCGCACACTCTTTATGGAGAAATACCCTTTTGTATTCCCCTCTAGTTGCGCGTTTCTCGCCAAGAGAGACGGGCGATTCTCCCGATGGCTCTTGTTCTTCGTGGGTATGGTAGGACCTCAGAGCTTTCTGCATTATGTATTCATACTCCGTATCCACATCTGAAATAAAAGAGAATAGATGCAACCTACCTAACGTCCTAACGATTCGCGTTGTCCTTCACGTTATTCCTCAATCACGGCGAGTAGTTGTGATAAATGGGGTTTGGTCATCGTCTTTTGACTGAATGGTTTTAGACAGGCCTCTTTTCCTGAATGATTTTATAAGCCTTTCTCCACGTTAAAAAAATGATTTTTTAGTATCTTATAGATGAAAATGTGCGTCTTCACTTCATAAATTCAAATTCCGTCTAGTGAACAGATTAACATTATCCATTTCCATTTCAGAAGACTATGCATATACTGTTTAACTAATACTGTCGACTAAGTGATCCCCAAGGTCTCAGATATGTAGAATATTACTCAAGGATCAGAGAATATATTCCCTTCCTTCCAAATAATAACACTGTTAATAACATTGTTAGTCTTAATATTCACAAAATAAAAAAGCAATTGATTCCCTAGACAACGTATAGGATTAGTATCGTGAATTGTTTTTTATTTAGGTTTATATCCTCTGACCTCTTAGTTTAGGCTACAACATCCTTATAATGATTTTCTCTACTGGAAGGGATACAATCGGCACTATTGCATATTGATCCATCAACATAAATGATAATGTAACTGGGCATGCGCAGAATCAAAGCAGACGTTAATTTACAAAAAAAACTTCCGATGGCTTACGTAAATTATTTAAAGGATTTGATTGCTATTGACGAATTAATTTTATTCAGTAATGATCAATTGATGATTCTCTAGCTTAGTAACTGACAGTCTGCCAGTAGGTAATACCCGAGACTAGCATAATATGTTAGTCTCGGATAATACTCAAGTGATCATGCCTAGTGAAACCCATTTACCCCATCTCATGGATTGTCTCCAAATAATAGTGTATGCGTTTTCGTACAAGGCATTAAACAGTTGATGTAGTAGTAATTCGCAATAGAAAAACAAAAATCCAGATTTGAATTTATCTGTACTAAATGATGCAGGTGAAATTAATTTCATGCCTATTACTATTTAGATCTATTCAAACAATGTCTCAAAATTCATACCATACATAGCGGCAGTACTAGGGATAGATGACTCGTTTATGGTGGCACACGTATCTTTGGTAACTTGAGGTATCTGGAAAATAAGTGTGCAATGTTAATATTCTGACAACAAAATATTTCTAATCTCGGACGACTCATGTGAACTGATGGAAGCAATTTAAAAATGCACTCTCCAAACATTGTGAAGAAATTTACTTGTAAATGAAATCATTTGAAATTTACATAATTTTAGATGAAAAGACGAGCATAAATTCAATAACGCAGATGCGAGTAGGTAGTTACCATATTCACCACCAGGTGGCTCGTTCGGGTCAGATAGCATGGCGGGTATAGTAGAAAATTCCCTTTAACTTAAATTACATCTGTTTGCGTGGTTCAATTTTCATATAACCCTTGTGTATCTAATAGTTATGCAAATTAAAATATGTCCAGTAAAAGAAAATGTTATCTGTCCAATACAAGAGAAGATAATTCACTTTTTGTGATTTTGTAACATGGGGTCTATGGGGAATCAACCCGAACAAGAAGTCACATTTTCAAAAAAAAAAGTTTTCAAAGTTGATAGACAATTTTCGAAACCATGTTTCTAGATGTACTTTTACATGCAGATTTCAAATATGACATCACTTTGACTGAATTTTGGATAATTAATAACGCAAATCAAGATTATTTCTACTCGCATCTAGTCTATTGCAAATGAAACTTTTGAGAAACAATTCTCAGTTATATGTTCGCCAAAAGCAGACTTCTTGAGGAGAAAAAAGTGAGTATCAAAACTTATTTTGTGTTAGCAATGCCAAAGGCAAAATTGAAATGCTTTAATGACTTTAAAAATATTTATAACTTTTGAAACTGAATAAAGTATCCATACCTTGACACTTAAATGTTTTCGCTCCATTTCTATAGTTCAGTCTCGCAAATCGTGCCAGTGTTTGTAACTCTTCAATATAATGTCACTTTATCAATGTTAGAATCCTCAGAACCAATGCGACAAAAGAAACAATGGTTAAGTAGTTTCTTTTCATACCTTTCTCAATAGAACTCTTCTTTAAAGCGACAACGAGTGTTTGTATATCATGCCGGATATAAAAGTAAGTATAGCACCTATAATATATTATAGTTTGACATTTGCACATTTGGAGATATCCTCAACTTATGATTGATTCAATAAAAGAAACCGTGTTAACAGAAACCTGGGCTTAGGGGATTGAAATATGTAATACATATTATCAATATTTGGGCAATGAATGATTCGGGTGCATGGAAGCGATTTGAAAATATAGGTAAAATTGTTGACATTGGATAGTTAATAAATGACTTACCAAAATTGTCCGTTATTGGGATATTTCACTCCAACCATATTAATTGTTTTGACGACATTTGTAAAGCAAACAGACTGAAGAAATGTGGATAATATTATACCTGCGAACGAATTGCGTTTCATTTAGGCTACTGCACGCACAAAGTTTTGCTTTTTGGTGGAAATAAATTTGGCAACTGAAAGTTTTGATGGCATATCAAAGCCTGTCATCATTTTTCGAACGAGTTACCTTGAAATACCATGCATGCTATTCTCATACTTAAAGAACTCAATATGACTGTCATTCATCATTTATTAAGCAGTAAAAATTAATTTGCATCATGGGTGACAACATGTTTCTACTTTCCTGGTGAATCTCACATCATACGAATGTAATTTTAGGCGATCTGTGTGCAATATTCCTTCCAATGTCCGTAAAAAACCTAATTAATTTTAATCCCCTCCCCCTTTCCCCCTATCACACCAAACTAGTTCTTACCCGTTCTTGCCAGTCCTACGAAAACGTCGTAAAACGGGCTCAATCTGGATGTGGTCGGGAAATATGTCTAAAATAATTAGCTACTTCGTTCATAAACAGTCTTCAATACGTCCATCTCATTTGCAGTTTGTTCAGGTCGCACCACGTCGGTGTGCAACGTCGTGTAACGCGTCCCTTAGTCTAGAAGGTCATCATGACCTGATTACAGAACGGTATGGTCGCCATCGAATTTTGAATCGATTCAAAATTCTAAAATCACCTTCCCGTCTGAGAACGTTCATGAAGTTCGTAAATAGACCTTAGACAGTTGCAGCTACGTTCATTCCGTTCGCACATCTAGTAGTTTAAAACCAGTTTTGAAGAACTATATTTTTGCTAACTCGTTCATAAGCAGTCTTTAATACGTTCTTACTCAGTTTAAACCCGTTTGCAATTAGTTCTACCTCGTTCTCAATACGTCCTCAGACAGTTCATCTCGTTGTAAAAAACGTCTCTAGTAGGATTGAAGTACGACGGTTCCGTTCGTAGTACGTCCAGCTCGTCGTTAGTACGTTGTCACTTGTTCTTAATGTAGAACGTCACGACCACGAGAACATTGTGAGCATGTTCTAAGTTCTAGAGGACCTACCCGTTCGAGTACGTTCGATGAAGTTTGTAAATAGACCCCAAACGGTTCTAAGTACGTCCAGTCAGTTCGTACACAGTTGAAGCCCGTTTTCGAGAACGTAGTGAGAACTAGTTTGGTGTGATGTAGGGTAACGAAAGTCAAAATGTTTGATTTGCATGCAGTGTACAAGTACAGCCCTGGCGTATAATATCTATGGCCCACGACCCGATGAAGTAAGGAGCAATAAATTAATGGCCCAGATGGTAAGTGGAGCAAACTCCGATGATCGTTGAAGCAAGCCACAGTGGTGACCGGAAAAAAGTACGATTATCCCATGAGAATCACAATGAATCATGCTTAAACAATTCCTACATAGATAAAGTAAATAATAGCAATATAGTGGGTAAATATGCTACTATAAAAATTTGAGTTTTAAATAAAATGAAAAATAAGCAGTGAACTTATGAAAACTAGTAATTAATATAAAAATATTTTATTATGGCCTAGTTTTTGTTTCTGCGATTTACATTTCAAAATATTCATATTTATTTAAAACACACTGGCAGTCGACATGTCAATATTTGAACAATTCATGTATAATATGGCACTTTTTGCACTCAGGTAGCCTTGCCCAAGTCGGTATTTTTCACTTATCTGATCTTGAATTATTACTGGCGGTCATAATAGAAATCAAGATAAGTAAAAGAGACCGACTTGGGCAAGGCTAGCACTTAGGATACATTTATATAATAGTAAATACATACTAGTATTAAATCTAACATTGTTTATTTGGACGGTCGTACATGGACGGTCCTAAGCGTTTCTATAATGCTGTCCAAGCATTTTAGGATAAGATCAGAGATCACAACCACTAAGATAAATATTAGCTACATGTAGGGTTAGCGTATATATTTATTTTCATTGTTGCCTAAATTTGGATTTCTTTTTAGAATGGCATCGCAGGCATTATTGACACTTGATATAATCATGTTCATGATTGGAGGCTTTGTGATGCGCTCGTCATGTGATTACTTATGATCTTAATTCTGTTCCTTCCTTCAGATGGCTTGACCATGTGGAAAGACGATGTCTTCTGTAAGAAAGAGACCATGCATATATCATACACATTATCTTCCATCCCGGTGTGAAAGAAATGATGGTCCCCCGGGGATTAAGGTCCTCTTTCTTAACGGCCCTTACTGGCCCTGATTGTGTAGAAGATAATGAGGGAAAGAGTTGTATTTCGGTCACCATATAAATCAATGGAGAGTAGGACCATCATTTGATGGGACCTCCTACCCTTTTACACCGGCATCATACAATTTCTCATTTGCTCGGATACGATGGTATGCTGTTGTGCACATGTATCAATATAATTTCATTTATTTTCAATGGAAGGTATAAACCAAGTTTGGAATACTTTAGTTGGTGTATACTTCCAATGCAGAAATATTTTGTTTACCTGACAGCTCTAAGGCCTGGGTCTTGGGAAAAAGCTTTCATTTGAAATTGTACTAGGATTACTTCTAAAATCCTAAAAAATAAAAAGAGCATGCAATGATGAACACATTATTATCCAGGGCAGGGATTCCTTTATTATTTCTACCAGCTTTAAATCTTAATAATTAACAATACAGTGTAACAATCTAGGCTATGTTACCATGTGTGACCAATAGGTAAACTTGATGGACTGAAAGTACTATGATAGCACCACGCGCGCTGATATAATCATATGTTGTTTTTTGTTTGCACACTATATAAAATTCGAACATGACTGTATTCACGCCTTCTATAAACTGTAAACAAAGTCAACATTTCACCCAGGGTATATTCGCGAACAAAACCCCTGGTAATACGTGTAATGTGTGACGTCTTAACGGCGGGCCGTAGTATTGGCGGACCATAATGAATATTCGAAATATTTTGGTGAGTTTTCATGTTCGAATCGTAATATAGAATTTATCCCTCACCTCCTGACCCCACAAAGGTGAGGTGGCCGCAAAGCTATAGGACCTTGAAGCTGATGTAATGGGAGATCCTGCACTCCTTCTCAGAAGCCTAGTTGAAAAATCCCTTGTGTGGTTGTCACTTTTGCAGTGTTGTGTATGTAACGAGAGCTTGTCTTCTGGAAAGCTCCTCTTGCAAAAGCTGCATTTGCCAGTGTTCCGTATTTTAACACCAGGTATTTTAAATGTGGCACCAAGTCCTGTAGGGACTAAAATTAATACCTTTTTACCCTATATCATTCTACAATCTAAACATGCAAAGTGGTGAGGAAAGGATATCCAGGAGAATTTATTGAGAAATGGGGAAAGTCTGTAAGAGAGTTTCGATTTATAGAATTAAATTATAAAGTGGTCTACCATCAGATATTCTGAATATTTGTATCATCAAAAGCTTAAAGATGCTCTTGTTACTTTATTTAATGTAGTTGTGTATTATGAGACACCACATTAAGTTGTCACATATTGTTAACTACTTGCGATACTCAGATATCAATTGACAAAGGAAGTTCAAAAATTATATTCTCTGCATGTGCATTTTAGTATAAACAGAGACATATATCATTTGTTTTTTAAATGGGCGAGATTTACAAAATTACCTCGAGTACTGTTCTGCTCTCCCGAGGAATATGTTCCTCTCGAAGTAAGGTCTGGCTCCTCATCAAAACTGTCCCGAGCTAATCTTGACTTTCCTAATCTTGCACAGACCCTTTGGTGTTTCAGCTGAAATTATTATCAAAGATCAAATACTGGATTGTACATTTTAATTCATAGTTTTATGTTAAGTATAGTTTTATTGTTCTTTTTGCTGTTAAATTAAATTCAAGGGTATTCAATGTGAACTTAGCCTGATCAACCATGTGCATGTTTAAGGTACGCAGCACACTTCTAAAAATAATATAATACAATAATTATGCACATTGCAAGAACAGTACCTTTCATTATACAACTATGAATTTTAAAAGGATATGACTATCAAAAACCTAGTATTCCACTTGCAATTAAATATCAATACTAAATACTTAAGATTGCATATATGTATGGGTTGTATTTTAAATAAAAATATTTAAACAAATAATGTTTAGTTTATGCTAACGCACTTACTATTATATCAGGATCAAAAGTCCTTTTGCAAAACATGCACATCCCCAAAGAGTCGTACAGTGTCTCATCAGTTGTGTCCCCCTCAGTTTCACAATTCCAATCATAGTACTCTTTATCCTCGTTGGTAAATGTAGGCTTACCATTTTTCCTATTATAGTATGAATGTGTGTAAAAGGTTTGTTTTCCATCATTCATGAATCTAGCACCTTTGAAATCATCAAACATAGAGTCAAACATATCATCGGGTTTGCTTTCATTCCAAGAATTATCCCATTCAGGTCGTTCAGCATTCGACATTCTTCTTGGTGATTGTTTCAATTTGTCTCCAAATTTAGTACGACCATACTTCCCTCTATTTAAGATGTCACCTAGGTCAAACATAGTCTCAAATGAATCATCATCATCACTGTCATATATGGTACTTGAGAATGAACGCTTTTGCTGGAAACTTGGGGGTTTTCTTTTTTCATTGTTCTGACCATGTTCATAACTAGTTGAAAAAGGATTGGTTGGTTTTCTACCAGATGTTTTCCTCGTTGTATGGGATTTTTCTGTTTTTCCCTGCTTGGTATAAGGCGTTCCTTCATTTGCACTTGTCTTGCTTTTGTTTGCCTTATGTTTACTTTGGCTTTCATTTGATTTATTTTGTGTTCCTTTACTGCTTGAACCCGTTTGTCCAGTGGTCCCACCACTTGACGCACCCGTGCTTGTATTGTTTTTACTACCATTGCTTTGGTTGGAGCTATGTTCTGAAAAATTAGAAAGAAAACACGAACTTCGAATTCATGATCAAATACCATATTTGAAATGAAACATGAACACATGTACAAGGATTAGTATTTACCTGATCTCCAGGATGTTGTGTTGCTATTGCTTTGGGACGACTTTGGTTGCCTTTCCTCATCCTCTTGTCTCTGGAGTGACCTTAAATATATCTCCCGTCTGTCTTTGGATTTCAGTATTTCATATGCAGCACCAATTTCTTTAAACTTCTCTTCAGCATTTGACGCGTCATTTTTGTCAGGATGATATTTCTTAGCAAGTGTTCTGTAGGCCTTCTTGACGTCATCTTCATTGCATGAACGTGGGATTTCCAAAGTCTTAAAATGATCCTTGATTGCCATCTAAAAAATTACAAATCCTTGCTATATTTGATGGTAAATGACCCACGATGACCTCTATTTGAAACCGACATGGGTGTATGTACATGTATATTACCATTTACAAATTTGATGGGGTGGGACGTGTGGCTAGACTATCAGAGTTTTGACTCGTGAACATCAGGTTACATATCGGAGTTGTTTATAAAGAAGCTTCGTTCTTAAATGCATCTAAGAGTATAGAGTACATGTATCAATATGGTCATCAAAGCGATTTCAAGAAATTAAAACCATACCTTGATAAACATAAGAAGTTCCAAGTGCTTTCATGTTTAATTTTCGCTTTTAGATGGTGATATCAAATTACAAATGGACTGTAGGCCTAAATCATTTCTGTCTTTTATGTACCCGTTTCCTGAGGTAGATCTAAGTGAATGACCTCAGGAATCGTGTAAGCAACATGCAAGCCAAGTCGAACGTACGCCTAGTTCCCCAGAGATCCGGTGTCTGAACTCTGAGGTGTAGGCCTACCTGTAGTATCCCTGCCTAGTATGTATCATGTCTATGTAGTCACTTTAATGCACTCTATAAATTTGAAATTCCACAGAGAAACTTTAAATTTTTTCATGATCGATGATATTAAACAGATGGAACAACTGCCCCTTCCTTGAAAATAGTGAATCCAATCTGTATTTATTCTCTGCTGGAGAGTTAACAAGGTGCTTCTGTTCTCTCCGGTTAGCCACTTAGAATGTCAACTGTTGGTACAAGTTCCTATGTGAGATTCTCCCGACTAAACTTATTAGAGTAGCATCATAGTTTCAACATGGCTACTGTTGTCATAAGGCCAGAACGAGGCCACTAAACGAAATTGCCTTTAGCCTATATTGCTGTAAACATGATGAAGCCCGGATCGGTAAATTAACACCGGGGAGTGAGGGATCCTTGGTAATTGAGTATCAGTAGCCGGTACTCAGGATCCGAGTTTCACCGATTTTGTAGAGCTTTGAGAGACACGGTAATTTTACCTTATTCTTCGGCCACAGTATAAGTAATTTGGCTAGAGACTCGAGTAACGGAACTTGCTACTGATAATTAGGCCATATTTATCATTGATTTAATTAACGCTTAACTTTAATTCCAATTGCCAGCAGAATTGTTGATAATTAGGTGTAAATTACTATTAGTAGTTGGTAATAAGTTGGTAATTAGTTTTATTTAATTTCAATTGGGCATACCTTACGCCTTACTATGTAAATTTCAGTTGCAGTTTGATCGGGGTCTAAATAAAAAATAGATAAAAAACTTACTTTTCTACACTCTAATGGTCGTCGACTCGCTATTTTATACATGTTCCCGGGGCCTATGCTAATGGTAAGAATGCCTATATTTTTCGAATGATTTTATTGCATTTGCAGAATGACTTCTAATGAAAAATCTAAATCGTTTGCACTTACCAGAAAACGGCCAAACTGTTTCTTCATTGGATAACATGGACAGTCCGACCGAAAGTATATGAAGGTCTGACTGCACATGCTCAAATGGAAATGTAGAATGTCACTGGACTTTTTGGCGATTTTGAAGTCATCTGCACTTCACACACAAAATCAACATCTGTAGTAATTTGACACCACACAGTGACATTTTATCGTTTCTCAAAACATTCTCTCAAAATCAGATTATACTCACGCCCGGTGATCGTAAAAAATGGATGGAGGGGGGGATTAGGCGATTTCTGCAAGAAAACTCAACAAATTTGGAAGATTTATTTTTTCAAGAGAAGATTTACAACTGAATTGCCAAATGAATAGGCGCAGTGCATGGCAAAATATGTTAGGTCATCTAGTATTTTTTTTGAACTGATACCCTTCTAAGATATGAGATCTATTAAAAAAGGCGCATCATCACCAACGTGCAAAAGTCAATGGTTTTGCTATAAATCAGGCAACAATGGTCTTCCAGACCTGTAATAAATAGGTATAAGGGACATTATTATCACAATACTAATGTCATTGCTCACTTTTTAAAGTTAGTTTCCATGCGTTATACAAAAAATAATCGAAATAAATTGATAGTGGATGGAGGGGGGGATTGGATGGAGGGGGGGATCACGTGTATGTAAGACATGATAAGACATGCTGCTTGAATTTGTTCTTATGACTCCAAATTTTCCCATTTTTCATTCTCCAGAGATATAATATCCAGTTTTTTACTGGGGTACTGAGTTTAGTTTTTTCAAATACACGAGTTCTTGTGAATCTGTTCCATCGTAAAGACATATTAATCCCCCCCTCCATCCACTCCCCCCCCCTCCATCCAAAATTAATTTATTTCGATTATTTTTTGTATAACGCATGGGAATTAAATTTAAAAAGTGAGCAATGTCATTAGTATTGTGATAATAACGTCCCTTATACCTATTTATTACAGGTTGTGTAGACCATTGTTGCCCGATTTATAGCAAAAACATTGACTTTTGCACGTTGGTGATGATGCGCCTTTTTTAATAGATCTCATATCTTTGAAGGGTATCAGTTCCAAAAAAATACTAGATTACCTAACATGTTTTGCCATGCACTGCGCCTATTCATTTGACAATTCAGTTGTAAATTTTCTCTTGAAAAAATAAATCTTCCAAATTTGTTGAGTTTTCTTGCAGAAATCGGCTAATCCCCCCCTCCATCCATTTTGTACGATCACCGGGCGTGATACTAAGCAGGGAAATTTTGTAGGAAATTTAAGTCACAAAAAACGAGTGACAACTTCCTCCGAGTGTAGTCGTTACGCAGCCTCAAACTGGTCATCTACCTGTGAATGTCGAACTCACATAAGATTACAGTAGGCCTAGTCCTAGTATTATACTTGGAAATGGATTTTATACTGAAAGAAAGATGGCAGTGTTGTCTATCTGCATATCGTTATTCATTATTCAACTGAATTACACCCCAAAAGCTTTGGGTTACAGGTAAGTGGCATTGTACAACCTTTCTGTTTAAAGGTTCATCTCAAATACAGTAAACCATCTATTTCAGGGTGCGTAAGGAATGTTCTAGTTAATGGTGGAAGGGGGATACTGACATCATGGGCTCTATCATGCTGACATATATTACATCTATATTTATCTTACATCCTCTTAATTTTCGTGATCATATTCACCGGCTCATTTTATTATTGGCATGGCTAATTTCTGGACATGTTGTCAAGTCAAATCAACAAAAACTGCCACATTGATTCATAATTCCATACTTTGGGAGTCAATAGTCGGATGAAAATATGAAAAAAATATGTGAAAATCTTTTTCTCAATTTGAAAAGCCTTTATCGTTTTATCACTGGCTGAAACAGAAAGCTGTTTATTCAATGAATAAATTCAATATCATACTCCCGAGTCAAATTGATCAGTCCCTGAATATTGACAATATATCCCAACCAATCAGAGACGAGCATTAATTTGATTAGTGTGCTGATGTTTTGCTCGAACACGTGGTCATTTCTGTACAGTTCCAATCGTGAGAGAGCGACGTCTTCGGACAGATTGATTTAGAAATAGAGACATTATAGTAACACCAGGTCTATCCCGTACAGATCAACAGGGAGAATAACAGCCATCGATCATGGAACTGATGTACATCAACATTACATCGCTGGTACTCCTGGGGTGTCTAGGTAGGTAATTTTTAGTAATAAGATCACTACAGTTCCAAAGACAAATCGCTGCACGATAAAAGTTCTTAAAAACAGACTACATAACATAGAATTATCAATTCAGAGACCGAGAGTTCTTTGTTGTTTTTGAATTTTTATTTTGGCTGGGATTGATGAAGTTATTAAAAGTTGTTTGATACCCGTTTTGAATGACTCACTGTCGCATGGGGGGGGGGGGGGGGGGGCAATTTGGGTCTCATCTGGCAAACCCCCGTCTAGAGCTCTTTTGTACTTTACTAAAGAGGAACTTAATTTTGGACTTTGGATAACATGATTACCGAATGAAGGTCTAGTATACACCCTTTCTTGCAATTTGGCTACAACAAAACTGCCTTAATTAAAGGGAGTATCAAATCTAGCAAGCAAGCATGACACAAATTGTTTCAATTTTAGAATATTTTGAGCTCATTTAATATCATATCTTGTCATGTCTTTTTTCTAGAAATCCCCAAACTGCATACTTTATATCACAAAAAGATTTAACAAAAAGATTTAACAACGAACTTATTTTTCTATAAATATCTGAGAGAATTTAAACATTTTTCCTTTACTATTTGGGAGAATTTTCCCTATTTTTGCACTTTAATAACTTCATCAATTTTGCAGATCTTTTTGGAAATATTAGTATTTGAGATTTGTAAGGAATAGATAGGTCAATTGTATATGTGCTTGACTTTTTTCACTCCTGTTCCTCTGATTCTACCTTTAAGTACTTGTGATACTCATCGTTTACAAATTTAAAAAAAGCAAAATAATTAAAAAACATGTGTGGATGTATAGAGGATTTTAAAGAAAAGAGAGTTTGGAATACATTCTGTTTAGAAGCAAATTTAGGAATATTGAGGTAAGGGCCAAATTGAATTACCACAGTTTAAAATGATATAGAATTCCATTTCATAATATCAGTTTGAATATACATATTACAAATATCACAGAACTAACGCTTTCACTATTAAAATGAATAAATCACTCCAACATTTCTCAATCGTCTCCTATTTCTAAGTACATATGGAATTTCTCCTTATGTAATCATGTAATATGACAGGTTAATGGTAACATATGATACTTATTAAAAAGTAACAATATCAAATGTTTATACTATAGTTATTATTAATTTTTTCAAATGATAACTCTGTTAAATGATGAATGATATAGAAAAAGATATCAGATATAGAATTTCAATTTATTCTATAATTGATATTTCAAACTATGTAAACAGTTAAAAGAATCAGGTTCTTGATTTAATAAGTTCAGATGCCTATGAAGCATGGTTACTGTATATGCAATACAATGTAACTCATGCCCTATGCCTAGTATATATATAAACTTATTAATTCCACTTCATTTTTACATATAAATACAGTACATAATTACAATACATAGTCCCTAGTCCCTAGTACTAGCTATCTCTAGTATATGTTTAAATAGAGGAATATTAGGGAATTAAAATGTCTAACATCAGATTATTAAATTAACTGCATTTTACACATTCAGTCCTTTCTATGTTAGAGATTCTGTCATCTAACTATTTAAGTATATAATATTAAGTATATATTAAAAGGGATTACACCTTTCAGTATTTGTCTGTCAACAATTTTCTTAGTAATGATAAATACAATGCTGCTAACATTTTTCAGTAATATAATTCAAAATAGGAATTTATGAATTTTCAAAATGCAGTGAAATGAAAACAGCTCTCTGGTCTTTGGGTAATACCCTTAGAGGCATAGTCGTCCAAAAACAGCTAAATAAATATTTTACTTCTATTTTGTTATATGTAAATGATGGCCAACCTATAATGCCAACATGGCAATTGGTGGCTGACAATGTATAACTTTGCTTGAGGAAAGTGACAACATTTGATTCAGTCAAATAGCCATTTACAGTATTTCTAGGTAAGAATTCCAAGGCATTCAAAAATCTGTGTTAGGTCAATCAAATAACCTAGGAAAATTGAATTTCTGGTTAAGAATTCTGAGTGGTTCAAAAATTTGAAGTTCAAGAATAACCTAATAATATTTATTTCTGCTTGAGAATTCCCAGTAGCTCAAAAATGTGCAGTTTTATTGGATAACCTAATAATAAAGTATTTCTTGTTGAGAGTCCCAAGGTGATTCATCTTAATAGAGACATAAACTTAAGTCTGATATCTTGTACAGGTATCGGTAATTACTGTAGTCATTTTCTCAATTCATTTCAGAGTAACTCTATAAACTAATGGAATGACTATAACAAGCAGGTTATTGTATTCTTATAATAAAACATCATTGTTTTTATGGAAGGAAAGTAGAAAGTAGAATGCCAAAGCACTCTGCAAATTAACCCCTGTATTTATGCTCTGGTGACTTCTGCTTCTGGGGGAGACGAGGAATGTTCATGGGGAGACATGGAATGTTCATAGGGAGACAAAGAATGTTCATAAGGAGACAAAGAATGTTCATAAGGAGACAAGTGTTCATAACTTCATATGGTTACTGAAATCATGGCTTGATATAAAACAAAACAAACAAACATCCAAATCAAAAAAAACAAGTAGAATGGTGTCCTTAATGTCATTTGATGCTCATTGTTAATCAATTAAGTAAAAAAGTGTATTCCCCTCTACAAAGGTTTGATTTTACAAAATATGTTTTAATAGCGAACAAAAGATCTTATCATAAAGCAAGGAATCAAATAATAAACTATTTTATCACATATCACATTCCACATTGCAAGAACATGCATCAATCATTTCATCTGAAGTTGTTTCATTTGACAGTTAAAGCCAACATTATAAATGACAGTAATTACTGACTGGTAATTACAGCAATGATAATTTAATCAATGACCTAAAATACCACTATTAACACTTTTTCCCTTTTGCAAAGAAAATGACATGCATTCTATTCTTTGAAGTCACCTTATAATGATTTGATAATCAGTAATAATCTACTGTTGTTTTTCAAACAAACATAAAAAGAGAACGGTTGCCATGACGCTATTACATTTGCACATTTGATGTGAGATTTATACGTTTTGAATCGTGTCCCTGTTGCTAATGAAGCATTTTAGGATCTAATGAATATGTATGTAATTGAAGACCCAAGTGAGAATCCTAAGAAACACTGTTTTATACCAATGGGAGTCATCAATATTAGTTTGTAGTAAAGACATGATGTGGGGCCATTAATCGGTACGATCCAAAGTTTAGGATCTTTTAGGATAAATTTTGGATTATTGATCTGGATAAATATTTGGTGAATTGGTACAATCCTAGGATTTATCCCAAGATTTATTCAAATTATTTAAATTTATCCAAATTACATTGGAATTCTAATAAATTTTAGTAAAAAGTAGACTTGATGGAATAAAATGATTTTAATGATATTTTATGCACAATAAAACTTGTCTTAGTGAACACCTCTCGCTCTTTTGAACACCATTCATTCGCACTTACTCTACCAACTTCTGTTTAAATTACCCTCTCTCTAGTGAACACCTACCAACACTGAATATTATTCTCAGGGAAAAATGTTCAGTATACACAGGTTTCAACTGTATATTGCGAAATTGAGAGAGAGGGAGGCTAGGTGTGATATCAGTCATACTATGCATTGGGATTGGAAACTTGAGGGCTTCAGGTGTTCTAGTTGCATGTCAAATGGTCATATATATATCCTTTATAACAATGGACAATGATATCCACTTTGAGACATGAGTTAACACTGAAATATCACATCACATCTGTTAGTTTCTGTAAGAATATCAGTCCAAATGAAAATAGATTCCAAACATTTATCAAACGAACCGAAGAAGATGACCAAGTTAGACCTGAGATTCATGTTATTTCTGGATGGGTACTAATCACAGATCCTAATTGAATGAAAACAAGTGAGGAGTTGCATGTTGGACAACTATACTAGCTTTTGTTTTCCCTGACACTTTTCTTGTAACTGAGAACATTCCCAGCATTATTAGAGCTATTGTTTTTTGAACCTTTGAGCGTCGATCCTCACAAAACATAAGTAGAGAAGAAAATCAATTTTCCAATATCAGGGTGAGTTCCTTCCCAAAATGTTGCATTGGCCAATCAATATAATTCTTGTTTTAGAGAATTCCTAATTAGTTTACGTGTGATTTATCAAATGTTATATTGATGTTTGATTATGTTCAATTTATTATGACATGTCTGTACGTTTCCTGATGTTTTTCTGTAACTTAAAAATTGGCCACGACATTCAGTTCAATAAGTTATGGTTTAATAGGTGTGTCTGGTTCAATAAGTGTACATGGTTGAATAAATATACATAGTCAAATTAAGGCGTATACATAATTCAATAAATATACATGATTGAATAAGTAAACATGGTTCAATAAGGGTGAAATAGATATACATGGTTGTAGAAGTTTTTGTGGTTCAATAATTATACATGGTTATGAGTACCATGCATGTTGATATATTTGGTTGAATAAGTGAGCATGGTTGAATGAATATATTTGGTTGAATAAGTGGTTGAATGTATATACATGGTTGAATAAGTATATTTGGTTGAATAAGTGGTTGAATGTATATACATGGTTGAATAAGTACATTTGGTTGAATAAGTGATTGAATGTATATACATGGTTGAATAAGTATATTTGGTTGAATAAGTGGTTGAATGTATTGTATATACATGGTTGAATAAGTATATTTGGTTGAATAAGTGGTTGACTGTATATACATGGTTGAATAAGTATCTGGTGCACTCGTCCTAAGAAACCTGTTAACATGATTCAAACACTTGATGAAGCTGTCATATTAAGTTAAAGTAATTGTGTTACATGATGCCCTGGTCAATTTTCTAAGTAATCTTGTTTAAATATAATCACAACTTGTCGTTGGTGTCTGTTACAGTGTGTCTCACTGCATGGATAGAAAATCAATCGACATTATGTGACATCAAATTGATAGATTTTATGATATTTACGTAATGTTCCTT